GTTTCTACAAAGAAGCTTGTGCGCTAAAATAGTCACCTAAGATGATGGATAACTCAATCTAACTGATGCGTTGACCAAAGTTATTACTTTCGAAAGTTTCAAGCGACATTAGACTATTATGCAAGTTATGTATCGGAAGTATAAGTAAAGTTTGCTAGCATTGTATCTTCAGATATATCTTTATATAACTATTTTATCTTATGATGACTATTGCTTAGTTCTAGTGAACTCTTGTGTAAAAAGTATTCTTGTATTAGCTTTAATTCTGGATTTTTTCGTAGGATAATTTTGTTACGAGATTTATGTTCTAAGGTCAAAGTTCCTTCTGTGGGTACCTGGAATAAGCCAAAGACTAAGGTATAAGGAAGCTTCTGCGCTGAAATATTCATCTGAGATCAAGGTCAACTTGAAAATTTTGTTCGAAAATAAAAGAAAGAGTTGGAATAATTTTGTTTGTACAAAGAAGCTTGTGCGCTAAAATAGTCAACTGAGATGAGGTATAACTCAATCTAACTGATGCGTTGACCAAAGTTATTACTTTCAAAAGTTTCAAGCGACATTATACTATTATGCAAGTTATGTATCGGAAATATAAGTAGAGTTTGGTAGCATAGTTTGTTCAAACATATCTTTATATAACTACTTTATCTTATGATGACTATTGCTTAGTTCCTAGTGAACTCTTGTGTAAAAAGTATTCTTATATTAGCTTTACTTCTGGATTTTCTCGCATGATAATTATTTATGTTACGAGGTTTATGTTCTAAGGTCAAAGTTGCTTTTGTGGGTACCTAGAATAAACCAAAGACTAAGGTATAAGGAAGCTTCTGCGCTGAAATATTCATCTGAGATCAAGTTCAACTTGAAATTCTTGCTCGAAAATAAAAGAAAGAGTTGGAATGATTTTGTTTGTACAAAGAAGCTTGTGCGCTAAAATAGTCATCTTAGTTGAGGTATAACTCAATCTAACTGATGCGTTGACCAAAGTTATTACTTTCAAAAGTTTCAACCGACATTATACTATTATGCAAGTTATGTATCGGAAATATAAGTAGAGTTTGCTAGCATAGTTTTTTAAGATATGCTTTATATAACTTCTTTATCTTATGATGACTATTGCTTAGTTCCTAGTGAACTCTTGTGTAAAAAGTATTCTTATATTAGCTTTACTTCTGGATTTTCTCGCATGATAATTATTTATGTTACGAGGTTTATGTTCTAAGGTCAAAGTTGCTTTTGTGGGTACCTATAATAAACCAAAGACTAAGGTATAAGGAAGCTTCTGCGCTGAAACATTCAGCTGAGATGAAGGTCAACTTGAAATTCTTGTTCGAAAAGAAAAGAAAGAGTTGGAATGATTTTGTTTGTACAAAGAAGCTTGTGAGCTAAAATAGTCAACTGAGATGAGGTATAACTCAATCTAACTGATGCGTTTACCAAAGTTATTACTTTCGAAAGTTTCAAGCGACATTAGACTATTATGCAAGTTATGTATTTGAAGTATAAGTAAAGTTTGCTAGCATTGTATTTTCAGATATATCTTTATATAACTACTTTATCTTATGATGACTATTGCTTAGTTCTAGTTAACTCTTGTGTAAAAAGGATTTTTGTATTAGCTTTACTTTTGGATTTTCTCGCATGGTAATTATATATGTTATGAGGTTTATGTTTTAAGGTCAAAGTTCCTCCTGTGGATCCCTGAAATAAGCCAAAGACTAAGGTATAAAGAAGCTTCTGCGCTGAAATATTCATCTGAGATCAAGGTCAACTTGAGATTCTTGTTCCAAAGAAAAGAAAGAGTTGGAATGATTTTGTTTGTACAAAGAAGCTTGTGCGTTGAAATAGTCAACTGAGATGAAGGATAACTCAATCTAGCTAATGCATTGACCAAAATTATTGATTTCAAAAGTTTCAAGCAACATTATACTATCATGCAAGTTATGTATCGGAAGTATAAATAGAGTTTGCTATCATAGTATATTCAGATATATCTTTATATAACTATTTTATTTTATGATGACTATTGTTTAGTTCTAGTTAACTCTTGTGTAAAAAGGATTCTTGTATTAGGTTTATTTATTGATTTTCTCATAGAGTAATTATATATGTTACGAGGTTTATGTTCCCTTCATGCTAGCAGTTCTTTATGTTATTACTCTGTCATGTTATGACTATGGCTTAGTTCTAATTGACTATCGTGCAAAGAGGGATCTTGTGTTAGGTTTTTGTCTAAAAGTTCCCGCCGAGTAATATAAAATGTTACCGAGCATATTGTTTTCTTAACATTTGTTAAGAAGTAAGATCCTTGAGGTCACCTTTGGTTAAGGAATAACATTAAATTCTAGCTAAAAATAACTAGGGGTGTTGCAAGTACTAAAGTATTTAGCTCCAGGGTTTGTGTATGACACAAGACATTCAGAAGACTGTCATGCATGACTTTTTTTTGTAGATGTAGTCCTTGGTGGTGAACAAAGTTATATTGGAGTCTTGACTCATTGTGTTTACTTTCATTTGATATTTTTAATTAAATGCTCATAATATTGGATTCAAAAAAAATTATTTAAATTTAAAATATTGTTGAATTTTTTGAAATGCAAAACTAAATGTCAAATATAACCCAAATTTTTTGATCAAAATGAGTAAATAAAGTCAAAAATTTTGAATAACATCAAAAATAGTATGAATGAAATTAAATCAACTCAAATGATAAATTAAAATTTTAGAAAAAAACTCAAAATAAAATCAGATTTTAAAATTTTAAAATAAAAAAAATCTACAAAAAATTAATATAAAATGAAATTAATATCATCAAAATGAAATCAAAAAATAAAAAATTCTTGAAATAATATAATGTTGAGGTTTATTCTTGTTAAACACTAACCTCGGATTTGAGCTATAAATAGCTAGTATGGTCGCTTAGAGTGGGGTTTAATATCATGGCTTCTGCTCCGTACCTAGAGTCTTTTGTGACAATACCTTGAATAAAGCATCATGTGTTCTTGGTAGGTGTAGTACTACTCTTGAGAATGAACCACACTATTTTATGTCTCGTGTTGGATGTTTGATTGACTGTTTTGTCATTATATTTCTCAAGTTTTAACTTTCACATATAATAATATAAAAATTTAAAATTAGTTTCTATTATATAATCAAATTTTATTTTGTTTCGTTAACCTAATTTTTTAAAAAAAATTACTTGTAATTATCATATTTTGACACATTAAGATATAAATTTAGATTGAAAAATATTAATATATTAAAAAAAGTTCAATCTAATGAAAATCAAAATAGATTAAAATGAATTTAATTTTCAATTTTTATCCATTACGTAAATTTTTTATTTTAAAATAAATTATATATAAAATATTATAAATATAATATGTGATAAAAATTCTAATGTATTTTTAATTAATTAATATTTTAAAATAATTTGATAATTTAAATTATACCATCATTTTGATTTTTCATTATTTTTATTTTCACTTAAAAGAATTTTTTTTCTATTTTTACATGTCAAAATAAATTTTTATTTTCATCTTTACTTTAATTTTGTGAAGTTGATTCAAAATCTTTTTTTATTTATGTTATGTATATGATATTAAGTAAAAACTGTTGAACTATGATAATAATGTAGTTCATGTTCACATATCGTGATGTCATGTCATTGTTCACGTTCTGATATTTAATTTAATCTATCCAAAAACAAACCAAGACTCAAAAAGTTTATGTAAAAATATTATATCATTGCATATGAAGCTCTACTTCTAAAATCAAATCTCATTCGTGCAAAAGAGAGAATGCAAATTGTAAACTAGATTGATAAGTTTGACTTTCAGAAAGATTAAATTACTTGATAATTATGTAATCTTAGTCAAATTGAAAAAATACTTCTTGACTAAATCAATTTTCAATTGAACATCAAAGTTTCAAAAACTCCAAGTATAATTCATGTGTGAATCTGATCATAGCTAAACAAATAATACTACTTTTCACATTGATCATAACATACTTTTCAAATTTGCAAACAATGTTGTTGAACATCATAAGTTGTGATTGTGCAATGCATGTTTTGTATGAGCTGGATAGTGAGAAAAAACTGGATATGATATTTGTTGTAACGAATGTTCAATATCCAAAAATTTATTTCTCAAGGACGTTCATGTGAGATACAATTATCATTTGCTGATGAATTATGAAAAATGAGCAAGAATCAAAGTTTTTTTCTTTGCTTTTTTTGCAAATAAAATCAATAATTCGTTTCATATTGATTTTTTTGCAAGAATTTATTGAATCTTTTAATAATTATAATCTTTTAATAATTTTCTTGTATATTTATTTAATGAAGAATTATTTTTTGATACAAAGACTATCACTTTGCGACAACAAGCATTATAAACTCTTTGGATTTTTTTTATGCAAAAGATTTTGCCTAAATGAATGATGCAGATCTTAATGCTTTCAAAATTCTGAATTGTTTTTTTATTATGTTATGAGGTACATTATTGTGTTGCCACATAATCTGTAGAGAAAAATGATGACACTCATCATCATCTTATGATGTTTTGAACAAAAATTGTAACTCATTTCAAAGATGATCAAAGTTTAATAACCAAAAAAATGTTCAACTATGACAAAATTTATATAAGCTTTTAGATTTTAAGTTTATAATAAGACTTCAATGGATTGACCTTATATCATATAAAAAATGATGTAAAATACAGTACCGGAGAAAAATTGCAGAATATATTTTAAGGTTAAAACCTTTACGTAAACGTGTCCGGGCCTCCAACTTAAGCTAGTTGCACTGCATCGCATGCCTTGAGCAATGAAATTTGAGACCTTCCCTCCGCGATATGTGATACTGCAATGTCTCGAGAAACTTAAACCCATACACGAAAGCAGGAAAACAAAACAGAACAACATACAATAACTTTGAGAATTGCTGATACATGTTGTCTTTGAATAAACCCAAAGACTGCAGCAAAATACATTATAAACTATTCCGCAGTTGATGACACAAGTATCCATCTAGCAACCCACATGCCAGAGGAGTAACCCAACTGTCTGACGTGGACACTATCATTTTCTATCCATGTATCTTTCAACATGTATCCTTGGAAAGAAACCTTGATATTCATCAGAGTCAGTTGGTGGAGAGGATTGATTTGGGGGATGACAGGGTTTATCATAGCACATGGAATGTATCTGAAGTACAAGGTTGTTGACAAATCTAATTGTAACTTCATCATTTGATTTCCATTGTCTTCATCAAAGTAAGCCTCTTCACAGATCGGACTGTAGGGACACCAATCCGAGTGCAAGTGAATCTTACAATTATGTTCTCAGCAAGATGGATTCCAGTGACCCGAGATGATACTTTTGGTGCGAGAGCCTTTTTTGGCTTGTAAGGGCCCTTCGGGCCTCTCCCGTTGGTCTCGGGGAAAGCCCGGAAATCGTAAATTTCCGGAACGTCCGCCCTTTTCTGACAGTGCCCCGACCTGTCGGACAGTCGCACGCCCTCCGGCCCTTTTTTTTGAGTTTGGTTTCCGGCGGATTGTCCATTTCAGTAGATTTTAGATCTACGTCATACTTAGGATTATTACTGGATTATCTCGTGGAAACTTGGGATCTCCTCACGGCGTAGACGATTAGATGTGGCTTCGCCTTTGGAGCAGTTGTGTTCATGTTAAGAATCAGCAACACTGACTAACTGGGAAGATCAATTCTAATAAGAAAAAGTATGGAGCTTATTTTGAGAGACCTTCTTCGTTGAGGACGATGGCATGACATGCGTATGGTGTCTCAAGTAGCAGCACAGAAGTGGCATGTGAAGGTGTGCTGAATCTGATGTTTGTAGTTTATGAAAGATCCAGGGAACAAACGTCTGCTTGATCATATGATGCCCATTTGGGAGGCTTTACACCAGGAGAAACAAGAACCCTGAAGAATGATTACACATAAAATAAGCTTGTGGTGATGAGTTGTAAAGGTCTAATCTAAAACTTCACATGAACTCTTGGATTTGGAAGGATTGATTCATTGACATTTTTAATTGAGAGATTTTTCTTGGAGTGACTTACCAAATTATATTTCTTTTGCAATCTATAGTTCAAGAGATTGCAAAATATGGGAAAGAAATTGACAGCTAAAAACATTTAGAAGAATGACAAATAAGATTTTAAACAATGCTAAACATAAGAATGACTAGATAAATTTAATATGTAAGAATTTTCACTTAAAAAAATAAATCTTCAAATCCAAATTTTTTCTTGTTGATTCTTTAATGAGATTTTCTTAAAAAAATTTAACAAAATTACAATGTTTTTAAAAAAGTTCCAGTAAAAAACTAAGACAACTATATTCCAACTATATTTCCACACACTTTGCAGTTGGAAAAATTTTTACAACCGTGCTAGAAGGCAACAAAACTGCAAGTGTCATCTTTCATAATTCTAATAAATATCAAAAAATCAATAATAATTACATGTGAAATGTACTTCCTCACAACGCATAGCAAACATCATGTTTTAGTCAATATGGACATCGTTGTAACAATTTTATTTTTGTTTGATGTATACAAACTCATTACTTTCTGCAAATATTAGAGATTTCATGGTTTGATCCGAATTGTGGTCTTATTTATTAATGTACTGAATTATTACACCAGATTGCTAAATTTGTTTAGTAAATTACTTGATAAAAACACAAGACATATATTTCAAATCTAGCATTTATGATGGCAACTTCTCAACTATTACGCGACTCATGATTTGGAGCTTTTATATATATATATATATATGAATCAAAGTAAGTTTGTGATAAAAGTTTCATAGAGATGATATCCAAGCTGATACGCTTCTACTTTCATTATAATTGATCATTTCTTTTAATTGATCTCAGGTTAATGAGTTTAAATATAAAAAAAATTATACGTAGATAGATTAATTATAAGGCTAATCAGTTGAAACAACAAACTAAAATGTAATTGACTAAGTGTGTCAGGAAATTGGGTATGTTAACCATACCATGTACTATCCTAACAAAAAACAAGTGATATAAAGTTATGTGAAACTTGTTCAATCTAAAACAATAATTATTCAAGCTTCATTAACGAAGATGTGGATTATTAAATTAGATCATAGACATTCATTGAGTTAAATTTTGTTGGGTGAAAATTAGTAGAAATTAAATATATGCTCCAACCATAATCCATAAACTTTCATCCTAGTCCATGTAGTTAGTTCCCTTTAATACAAAATATGTAGAGCTCCACCAAAATGAATATAGTGGATTCTAAAACTATAGCTCGATAACAGTAGATTATAGAATTTAGAGTTTATAATACGAGAGAGATTTAATTAAAGTTAACAACATTCAACTGTATTTATGTATGTAAATCGAATTAGTTTTTGTAACTTGTTCTTCAGAAAACATTCATAGTTGGAACTAATTAGTTCCAACGTTTAATGTTTTCTGGCCTCTACTTCCTTTGGTGCTGGAAAAGGTTGGCGAATGTTTACGTAACAATATGATTTCAAAACACGTGGAACTTTATCTGGACAGCAGAATGAGAAAACCTTACGACATGTAAGTCACTTCTGTTGAAGCATGAAAACTTGAGTTACATTTTGCTCCAATTCGTTGTCTCCCGCCTCCAGCCAACCACACAAGCCAGACATCGATGAGGAAGAGCGGAGCTCCAAAGGAGACAAACTCTGCATTATACATGTTGCCTGACAATTTCCACAACAACTAAGGTTGTACCCATTTAGTTCAAGCATTGATAGGGGTACATTGAAACTTGGTCTGTTGCATAACTAGGCGGTGAACTTAATCGACGATTGTAATGTCCGACTCGCGCATTCAGGAGATGGGTACGCCCTTAGGCCGCAGATGAAGAGAAAGTGCTGGAGGGATCAGAGGGATTCAAAGTCATCCAGTCCGTAGAAACATGCGAGCAAGATGAATTCCAGTGCATAATGTCTGGACGCTCAATTTTTCCTCGTCTCAGGGGGATCGATGGCAACAAAACATTGCACGTGAAGGAAACCGTGCGTGCTCATGTGCTCATGTGACCCAAGGGGAGTCAAGCCGAATCAGGCGAAAGAAGTGTGTATTCTTGGTATGCACGCACTTGCGACAACTTCACAGAGCGACATCGTATACAGATCAAAATTTATGAACGTTCGCGAAAGAATCTCGGGGACCTCTTCTTGCCTGCCTGCCTGCTATGCCTGTTATGTCCTGCTATCCTAGGCAAGAAGCAAAAAAATGTACACGCCGAAGAACACGACTAATCGGATTCGTCGACGTTGGACTCGATTCGACTGCGCGATTCGACATAAGAGCAGGCCTCGAGGCGCAGGTGCGGTGTCTCTGCTCGGGCATACGACCCGTCGAGAGATATCGTAGCGAGAGAGTTCGTCGAATGAGAACGATCGATTATGTTGCGGAATGGCAGGAATGGAACGAACAGCGCCAGCATTCATTCACGTGCTCGAGGCCGCGAGAACGGGGCGGAGGAGGAGGAGGAGAGCACCACCGCCACCACCCAGGGAGGAAATCTTCGTCGTCGTCGTCGTCGTCGTCGGCGAAGATCAGACCTTGGTGTACAGGACGTCCTCCCACGGGTGTCGGTAGAGAGGCTGCTTGAGGCGCTTCTGGTCGAAGGTGTGCCCGATGAGGCCGATGCTGCGGGCCAAGACGAAGAGACCGTTGAGGTAGCCGATGTCGACGATCTCGTCGATCTCGTGCGCCTGGAACATGGCGCAGCTGGCCAGCAGGTCCAGGAACAGCGCGCCGATGCACCCGTCCACGTTGAGAACCAGGTTGGCAGCCTTGCTCAGAGTGTAGTCCTCGACCGCGACTGCGTAGTCCAGGTAGCGGACCTGGGGGAAGTGGGCGCGCGCGTACTGCTGTAAGAGGAGCACGCGGCGGTCGCGGTTGTCGCGGCTCTTGATCCGGTGGCCGATGCCCGGCACACGCAGGCCCTTCTTCTTCATGCTCTCGACGAACAGGTGCGGGCTCAGGTTCGCGTCGCGCGCCGCCTTGAAGCAGCGCGCCGCGTCGTCCACCGCGCCGCCGAAGCGCGGCCCGACGGTGAGCAGGCCCGACGTCAGGCACGACACCAGGTCCTTGCCCGCGCGCGCCGCGACGATGGTGTTGTGCGCCCCCGACACGCACGGGCCGTGGTCCGCGCACAGCATGACGCACATCTCGATGAACTTGGTACAGTAGGCCGGAAGGCTGCGCTTCCACCACAGCAGCGCCAGCACGTCTCCGACTCCGTAGTCGCGCTCGAACAGCGTTGTCATGTTCACGCCGGCGTACGTCGGCTCCTCGCCCCGATCGTCGCAGATCGTCGAGACGACGTGCGTCGGGGCGCGCACTTTGCCGCTCCTGATGGCGCTGCTCAGCGTCTCGGGCACGACGGGCGGGGTCACGTCGCGCGCGGGCGCGATGATCTCCTCGGCCACCAGTCGCTCGAAGACCTGCTTGATCGCGAGCTCCAATCCCTCGAAGGACGTGGGCACCACTGCGCCGGCCAGCTGCAGGGCTCGATTTTTGGCCTGCGCGGATTCCTCGTCGCCGCTGCTCTTGGCTCCGGCGTGCCCGAATTGCACCTCGGATTTGAACAGCTTGGCGCAGGTTCCTGTCACCCAGGCCACCACGGGCTTCTGGACTCGGCCCTGCTGCAGAGCTTCGACGAGCGAGTACTCGTCCCGCCCGCCCAGCTCGCCGAGCACGACGATCATCTTGATCTGAGGGATGTTGCTGAAGCGCAGGACATGGTCCGAGAGCGTCGAGCCGGGGAACGCATCGCCGCCGATGGCAATGCCTTCGTACAGTCCGTCGGTGACTCGTGCTAGCACATTGTACAGCTCGTTCGACATGCCCCCGGATTTGGACACGAAGCCTACGGATCCTGGTCGGTAGAGTTTGCAGGCCAGAATGTTGTCCAGGGTTCCGCCGGTGTCTCCAATTTTGAATGCTCCCGCCTGCACGCCTCCCACGGTGGCAGGCCCGATCACAACCTTGTTGTGCGTCTGCGCATACGCGATGAGTTTCTTCGTGTCTCGTTCGGGAACTCCTTCGGCGATGATGGCCACCACTTGTATCGTGGGCTGCTGCAGAGCTTCCATGGACGAGGCGAACGCACTGCGGAACGAGGCGAAGTTGACGAAGACGTCGGCCGTCGCGTGAGCTTGGCATGCCCCTGCAATGGTGCCATGAATAGGGATCGCAATCTCCTCCTGGCCGAAGAAAAGCTTGTGAAATCCCTCTGATCCGGGCTGAATCACACCTGCGACCGACGGCTTCTCTCTGCCGCAGAGAAAATCGAAGTCCAGCATCCGCTGCACAGGACTCGGCTTGTAATTGTAAAACAGGGCCTGAGTCGAGCGAGAGAATATTTGGCCCGTGGCCATGATCTCGAATCCCAGAGGCGAACCTGAAGAATGTATTGTCGCCCGATGTCAATGTCGCATTCACTTGCTCGCACTCCGTCGACTCAGCCCGAACTGCATTGAAAGCTCTTTGCAATTCCCGGCTATGGTGGGCTCGATAGACTCCTCTGCTCGCCCTCTCGAGAGAAGATCTCAAGCTCCACTAAGAGACGCAGGACAGACGGGGCTCCTAGGCTACAGATGGCTGGCCGTCTCAGTGAGCATTTATGACAGAATTAATTCCGAACCACGACATTTATTCTTGAGAATTTTTTTTTAAGACCCACTAGTACTCCTCATCATGCCAACAATATGAAAGCCGCAACTCGTGTCCAGTCCAACTTCAGTCCAATTCACCGGAAGACTGCGAGAGTGCCAATGTGCATTCTGCCGCCCGGTTCTCCTCCTCAGCTGCTCTCGATCGATTGTACGTGCGACGAGTCCATGCCGTCTTCAAAAGTACTGCAAATGTACTCATTCTCGTGCAGCGGAGTCAAAGCACGAGCGGTCACGGGCCAACTATGGGCCAAACATGATGCACTCGAGCGGGTACGATGCCTTACAGGAGACACGTCGAGAATCTGGACGTGCGTTTCAAACTCTGAATGAGCCACACACATCACATGAAAACCAGAAGGTCTTGTGATGGAGTACAAAATGCGAGCTCAAAATGGGTCTAGATCACGTGCAAGAATGGACGTGCGTGAGATGATGACTTCGCCTTCCTATTTGACAGAGAACTCTTCAAAAGAGGGCCGAAGGTTCCCTGATTGATGTTGTCCGTTCGGGCATAAGGAACATCCAGATGCAGATCATCACCGAAGAAATTACAGAGCGGGCGGGCCAGATAGAAGATAGATTTCGCCGTACAAAGTTGTATCCGTATACGCCGTATTCACGACTAAATTATGGTGTTTGTACGTCGCGTAATACCATGGAGAAATCACTCTTCATGCAACTGGAATTCGACTGCACGCAGATTCACAAGCTTCGGTGGAGCCGCGGCTGACGGCTACGAGCGTGTAGTGGCATTGAACGTCGAGAAATGGTTGCGCCAAGGGTTTCGATTTTACAATAGAGAGTTTAGGGCAGATCTTTCACCAGACTGCACGAGGCAGTCCTTGCATGTGCGCGCGAGTTTCCTTGAGGTACGTGCAACTCACCTTCTCGATGATTTTCAATCCAGAATTCTAACACATTTTAGACCAAATACGTTTCGAATTTTTCGTTAGTGAGGAGTGAACACCTCAGTTCTATACACTCGTATAATTTGATGGGTCTTGCAATCGTTTGTGATGTCCATTAGGCCCCTCTCCGTATAACAGCTGGGTGAGTGAGTCGTGTATATCTCCGGGTTGTAGACGTGTTAAGTCCAGGAAATGACTTCATCCCCCACTGCGTTCAGATCCGCAAACATGTTTATGGATTTCTTGGATCTTAATCCCTCATTTAGACTGCACAACACGCATTAAAGTTCCTACATTCACATTAGTTGAAGTACACATTCTTACCCAAGATATGCAAAACGGAAATGAAGCTCACTTATAGGTACCCTGTTTTGCCGGCCTCCTTCACATGAAACACAGATGAGTAGAGATAATTACTTGATGGAACCCTCGGAGACTCAAAATACCCGATGGGACCCCACTCGAGTGCCATGCAACTCGAAGTAAGCAATTTTCCAGTAAAAATTCTTATAATCTGATAATATTTAGTATAGTGTGAAGAGTGTTTGCCACTATCGGGCCAAAATACTCTCCCCCCTGAGAGTAATTTGGCGACTCGTTTGCAGCGTGTCTCAGACGGGGCTTCCAATAACTGCATCCCAAAAAATCCCCGAGAACTTCCTATCCAAATTAACCCCCAAATCTTATTGGAACATCGATTACGGTCGCTGCAGGGCGTCGAGGGTCTCCCATCGGGTAAAATGAAACTGGGTGGGGACCGTCAAGTTTGTTGAGTTTCCTTGGGGGTCCCATCAACTAATTTCCTGAGATGAGTATCTATGTTACACTTCTGAAACCTAACCAAGAGGCCCCGAAAATGCTAGAACAAATTGGTCGAGAAGTTGTGAATGAGGTACAAAGGCCAACGGGCATTGTTCAGGAATAGGATTCGAGATAAAGTCAATTCGGGAATGATTCTGGTCTTTGAATAGATTCGTAGTGATTATCTTGGTACATCAAGTTTTATCTTGAATCTAGAAAAGATTATTACTTCTATATGTAACTGGAAAGATTAACAATAATTTAACCCGAAGTGTTGTAGGAATACCACCACCGACATTGCACCCCTGGTCTGTTCTATCATGCACGTGTGTCCGTCATTATATTTGCATGTTTCAATGGAATATATATATATATCCAGAGAGAAGGTTACTTCATCCTCGATTAATTCAGATTCATTGTTGTGCCATCATCATTTTTACTATCTACTGTCGTGTGCCCTGAACCTTTTTCACCTGTTTAGAACGTTATCGAGACCTAGACCAAGCGCTAGATGCAATCACTTCTCGGCGGACAAGGCGGGAACGAATTAGTCGGGATGAAATCGTTCTGGACTTTCAGCACACCGACCTTGAAGAGTGAAATGAATCTCTCGATCTTCTCTTGGTGACAACCAGAAACAACCTCAGGGACATCATGCTCAATGCAAGACCGACCCGTTCTTCCTCTCCTACACTGCTCTGAGACAGGCCTCGAGTACCAACCGATGGCGACTTTGACTTTCTAGCATCAGATCGTTTAACGAACAAGACGCAAATCAGGAGTAAAAGAATTGCGACATCTGCTATGAATCCATGTGAGACAGCACATCTTTAGTGATTCAGTAAGTTGCGGTGTTGTTAAACAATTGGGCGGAACTTCGACGACAACAACCGGTGTATAATATATCAAACGTCAAAGGCAAGCCGAATAATAAATGCGCTACGTAGAGCAATAGTCATGCTCTTTGCTCCGCCTCACGTATTAGACCTGATTACATATCTGAGATTTGAATAGAAACCTTAGAAAGACAAAAGAGTGACTGAGTCACAGGTACAACTTGCAGCTAAGAATCCAGCTCGTGTTGAGCCCATTATATCAACAACCACACAATAAGACACACCATTCACTGTTGCTTGCTACACATAATAGGTTCATGATGATTCTAGACACAATCACAACAGTCTATGGCAGAGAGTCACAACCAGAGTCAACACAAAGGTTCTAATCTATGTAACAAACATGCAAAATTTGAAACTGTGAGAGTGACATCTTTTCTTCGTCCTAGCTTTGTTGAGAATGATTCGACGAATGCAGTAGAAGATAGTTGTTGTAGTGATTGACCGGAGTAGAAAGAGAACATAAGATCTCCATCCTCAAAATATTAGATGGTATTCGGTAGAGTAGAGAGAATAACTGAGGGAGTTAACCCTATTGGAAGTTGATGGATTTTTTTGCTAACAAAAAGTATAAGAATGATTGTGTTTCTCAATAGAAGAGTAATTCTTTTGGCTGAAAGCGTCAGCCAACTTTTTATGCATTGGACATGAAGAGATGCATTCTCTTGTGTTGGATTGCATCACTCTTAGATATCTACGATAAAGTGTCGTCAAATTTCCCAGTACGGGTTGATAGATGTTATCAAGGGAAGCTGGACAAGGTTATTTTGTGAAGGTGTCTGCATGTTTAGATAATGATCATAGACCTTGAGGGCAACTTGAATGCCTCAAGTAGAGAGAGAATTTTATGGCCCCAAACAAACCTAGCCCAATGTGGTATAAGGTGAGCAAATGTGGTATCGACGTCTGAAGGATTTTGTTGGTTAGTTAAGGTATGAAAGGAAGAAGGCTTTTATTGCTGCATCAAGCATATGGAGAAAAAAATTTGTCCTTGTTGATGAGTGACATCAGCACATCATAGGCACACTGACTTTCTTGGTTTTTATTGATGGACAACTTGCTAAACTTGAAATAAAGCTTACCTGTGTTCTTTTATATTCCCCACAATTGTAGACTGACATTTCGTAGGATGATAAAGCTTTACTAAAGTTCCCTTTTTTGGTACCGATAAATTTATCTTTTCTCATGTTGGGCAATGCTTACATGTAGAGCTGAGAAGCATGTGAAGCTGTATTCGGCATCTTGTGTGGGTTGGACCATAAGCTTCATCAGTTGGTCATCCACTCGAGTGAGAGCAGAACAAAAAGCACATGATACCCGTGTCCAAAATCACGTCCTTCCCCATTTCCCCGCTGCTCGAATCTTTTCTCTGGCGTAGAAAGCTCGTCACGTTCGCAATATGCTCTTTTTCTTGAGATGATGTGCAACTGCATCATACATTCGATTTTGTCCTTCTCTTTGTCGAATGACACGGTCAAGGCTTTGCTTCTTATTCCAGAAATTTCGATCACAATTGTTTCTATAATTTATAAAAAATCGATTGAATGGAATACACAAGTCGTAAGTCGATACATCTTTCACACTATATGAGGCGAGTAGAATTCTTTCCTGTGTAAGCATGTAGCTGCATGAGGTGCGAGAACCTTGACACGTGAAGATTATCCGGTAGGAGCAGTGGAAAAGTACAACAATCAGTTCAGGACCCATGAAACATTTTTCGAGGGCAGCTCTGGGGGAGCACATTCGTTGACCCTGTGCGTCTCCTTCTCTAGCAACGAGGAGAAAAAGATCTCTCACAAGGTTACAGCCCATCCGCGAAAACTCCATGCTTCGTTGAGCCTGTGAACCAACGAGTCCGCGTTTGACGAGTGAGCGAAACAAGATGAAGGTACTGGTCTCGGTGGAGTTGACCAGAATCGGGCATCCAGCATCCCGTACGATAAAAGTTGTGCACAATGAGACCTCATCCGACGCTTTTGGCCAGGCCCGGATAAACCATTCGCTCTGAAAGAAGTGCCCAGATCGAGACAGGAATCTGCTGCACCTTCGACTCCGATAAACCGTCACATGACACCATTCTGGGAAAACAGCGGCTTATATCAAAGGGCACCAAGAAAAAACCACAAGTAGTTTGTGAATCACGCTGTGACAAGACTCGGTACAGAAAATTGATCAGTGTTGACGTTAAAAGTTGCAGGGTATCATTTTATTGCCATGCTAGATTTACAAGAATACATCATCGAATAAAAAACAAAAATGGGTTACGGTACAAGATGGGTTACACCTCAAGATGTTGGCTTCTTAAATGGGTTACAACTTGAGTACCCAGGCCGCGACTCAAAGGAAACAATCTATATTACTGTGGAATAGGAGTCAGTCAGGCACACCATTATTGCTCACCGGTGCTTCCGCTGCTACTACCACCACCACATTGCGATGTATTCACTGTCTCGACACGGACCATGAGCTTGATTGCATGGCCTCCAGTTGATCTCATAACTTCGATGCACTCATCCAGATCGGCATCACACACCAGTAATACCCATTCCTCGTCATCGTCTCGATATTTAAGGTTCAAGCTTTGAACAGGCAGTTTGAGTCGACTAGCAACCTCCTCGCGAAGATCCTGATACGAGGAGTTCGGCAGAAGCTTGAATCGGGCAGTGTCCGATCCATACGTGGCCTTCACAATGGTGGACGAACTCTCATCGTGCGAATTGGGAGACCTGCGCTGGGAGCCAACGCCAGACGACGGCGAGCCGCAGTCACTGACGCGAACTGGCGATGAGCTGTAATGCTGCGAAGATCCCTCCACTCCGGACGAGCTCTGATTGCCACCTTCGGGATCCTCCTCGCCAGGAGATGTGCCACAATATATTTTCAGAGCCCTGTAATCACTCGATAACCCTGCAACTCCTAGCCTACTACAACTCAAATGCTTTTCCTCGCCATTTACACCCTGCAGAGCTGCCAGCGCAGCCCCGCCGCCATGGACCCGGCTCTCCCCGCCCACAAACGACCCCTTGCCAGGGGCGGGGTCGGCTTTGGGGCCAGTGCCGAACACGGATCCAGCCCCAGCCCCAGCCCCGGACTGCTCGTTCTGGGCGTTGGGCACTTCGCCCTGGCCACAATTATCAACCCTGGCCTCCACCATCTCATCACCCGCAGCATCGGAAGCTTGACAAGCACCAGCATTCCCCACCATATCCACATCTACACCCCTACTACTACCTACTGTGTACGAGCTGACGTCGCCGCTCTGTGACGCTTTGCCCCCGCTCGATGCGCCGGGGGACGCCACTTTGCCATGCCAGGACTGCTGCATGCCTTTGCCCGCCTCGTCGCCCCGGCTCATCTGGCAGTCCACCACCGGAGGCGAGCTGCTCGTCAAATGCTGCTGCTGCTGCTGCTGCTGCTGCTGATCCGAGGATCCTGCAGCGCTGTGGCCCGCCGCTCCTCCGGGCACAGGCGTGGCCCAGGACACTGTCCAACTGTTCCTTGCGCCGTAGCCATTGTCCTGGCCCAGCTGCACGCCGCTCACGGCGGCGGCAGCGGCTGCCGCAGCGCTCGCCAGATCTGCGTTGATTCTCAGAGCTCCATCGGCGCCTTGGACCGAATCGATGACCCCTTGCAGCTTCTTCAGCGACCTGCTCACTTTGTTGATCTTGCGCGACGGCCATCTCGAAATTCCGTGCTGCCGACAGATTCTTTTCAAGGTCGTAGGGCACACTGCATCCGCACGAAAAGGTGAGACTCTCGACGCATTCCCCGACGCCGGTGCATGCACGGCTAGCGAAGCGAAGCGATCGAGCAGGCAAGCAAGCAAAACATCTAGCATCGAGCCGATCGACCGAGCACGCATGCATGCATACAGAGCTTTCGACGAGCAGGAGCAGAAATCGAGACAGCACTCAATTAAAAAACAAACAAAAAAACTGGGACTCACCACCGATGCTTTTCGCAGCATCTTTCAAGCTGCCGGCGAAGTACTGCTGGAGCACATTGAGGCCGATGGTTTTCTCGTTGGTGCCGCGCCTGCGCTCGGGGCGGCGCTTGTGCACGCCGTCCCCAGAGCCGCCAGCCTCGGGCATCTGGTACGGGTGGCCGGCGGAGCGCCAGGCGTGGTGCGCATCCATGTCGGAGCGGCCATTGGAGTCGTGCGCGAGCTGCGGCGAGGACGGGTGCATGTGGTGCTGCTGCAGCGAGTCCTCGGACGAGTGCTGGTGGTCGTAGAGACCCGAGTGCCCTTGCTGGTCCTCGAGATCCTGCGCATGGGGGGACACGTCGGGGGCCTTGGATCCGAAGGCTGCGTTTGCAACATTCAAGGACTTGCCTTCCAGCGCTTCTACCCTCCCAGAGCCATCCTGCTCTTCATCAAGCTCTTTGCTGGTAACCGTGCGCAAGCTCCTACAGACACGCTGCATGGTGATGGAAAGCGCATTCAACAGTAGTTGTTGCTCATTACCATCTACACAAGAAGGTGGTAGAAAAAACTCCAGAACGTAATCATCACTACCTGTATGAATGCTGCGTAATCGGATAGCCACTGCTGCACTTAAACCAAACATTTTTGCGTAGTGGCCCAGTGGATATTCGATTTTAGGATAGTTACGCACATCACTTTCAAAAACAGGCTGATTGGATGAAAAAGCCCTCCCAGGCACACCCTGATTCTTTTCTACGACATGCTCTGTGCATGCACGCCGAAAACCCCACATCGAAGAGTCACTCACATAGCAAGGTCCGTGTGCGGTGTGTAGCACGACTCGCGGTTTATTGCTGACGGTTCCACTCAATCTTGGGCTCACATTCATGCTCGGGCTCCCGCTACCGAGTTCCGGCACCGGAGTGGCATCAGTCCAGGATGGGACCCAAGTCTGGGCCAAAGGAAGTTTGTGTGTTTCGCACACCGCTGTCAGGACCTCTAAAATTTCCGCTAGAGTTCTTTGCCGTTCCTCGGACCGGATCTGTATCGCACAGGCGCAACCACGCAACCAGCTTTAGCAACGAGCAGCATCACTCATTCCATCCTAGATCTACTTGCATGCCACACTTCTTTCTACGAATTTCACTCGAATCACACGACTTTTCAATTCACCTCTGTGGGAGGAGATTGGCATCCGCTGGTTGACAAGCTGACGCCCTGGCCACACACACACGAGCACCCCCGTCAGTCAGTAGGCAGCCATGGGCTCGAGAGCTCGGACACGAGACTTCACGGCAACATGATCGAGTACAAAGTGCAAAATCAAATCCCAAGCACACGAAAATGTTCGACAGAAGTCCGAAGACAGGAAAGGAAGAATTTTGGACACTCCAGCGCAATCCGAAGAGTATCCGAGATTATGACTCACCTTGAGGGCTCGGCAGATGATGTCCAGTTCAGGCCCGTACTGAACTTTCTCTGACTTCATAATCAGCTCGATTACAGCCAGGCAGATGTTGGAGGTTTCTTCGAACACAGGCACGGCCAGAGTGCCCTTGACATCGCACTGCTCGGCGTAGCTCACGCGCAGGAACTCCTGCGAGGAGTAGTAGAGGACATTGGGCGTCCACTCGGGCGCGCGCGTGAGGAACACTCGGCCGGGGAGCCCCGGGTACTCGGACGAGCCTTTCTCGGTGGGGAACACGAAGTTGGCCGACACATTGCGGTAGCAGAAGAGGCGGTTGTCGTTCGCGGCGCAGACGTAGGGCTGGTCGCGCGTGCTCAGGATGAGCTTCTCTCCGTGCGTCGTGGGCACCCAGATTTGGATTAGAGTGTCGCCCCCGGTCAAATTGGAGATCGATTTCAGCGCCTGCGTCATGCGGTCTTTGAGCGTCTGCGACAAGCCCTTGTTGGCGTGGCCCTGGCTCACGAATCGTCCGCCTCGGAGCTCCTGCTTGTCGGCAGGGATCAAATCGCGCCCGGAGCCGAGCATTTCCAGCAGCTCGTCTTGGCGTTCTTCGGCCTTCTCGGCCCCGCCATTGGAGGAGTCGCGATACACGAGGCTGTCGATGTAGCCCCCGAGAGAAGGGCCGCCGCGAGGCCCCAGAGATTCGTCCCTGGCGACCTGGCCGGACAAATCCACGTCCGCAGAATGCTTGAGCCCTCGTCCATCGGCGGTGGCGCTGCTGCTGCTGACCCCTGTCGCCTCCGATGAATTGCCGCTCTGATTCGGGCACCCGGAGCGATCTAACAAGCTGGAGGGCGAAACCGGGAGAAAATCCTGCGAGTAGGCGCCGGGAGAGAAGTCGTTGGAGATCCAGGCCCCGCTTTTGGAGAAGGCCAAATTCGACACCGACGAGGACGACGAATTGGTCGCATTGGTCGACACGAGGCGCTGCAAATCCTCCCCGCCTTCGGGAATCCTTGAAATGTTGGACGAATGTCCCGGCAGCGAGTAGCAATCTCCTCCTCTGTAGCCCTGCGGGATCGTCTGGTTGAGTGTGTAGTACAGCGACGAAGGGCCCGACACATTCGACGGCGAGCACGTCGTGAATGGATAGTATTCACCAGGCGAGGACGCGTTTATCCAGGGCTCGATATTTTGATCCACCAAAGGATCGAGATCCATCAGCTCTGTCAGCAGCGAGTCGTCCATTATGAACTTGGAATCCGTCGGAGACCCTGCCATGGGCGACGTTGACAATTGCCCTAACCCTAATGCATCCGCAGAGCGCCATCTGTGCAAACATTGCTGAATCCTTTCGTTCGAAATGGGCTCCATCATCGCCTTTTCAGCTACTTTTTTCCTACTAATCGACGGGTCGGTTGGCAGAACTGAGTCGCAAAGGACAGGCCACAAATCCTCGGCTCAGCTCGGGGATTGGAGGTGGATGCAGAACAAGATTTCACGACCAGGTTCCGCTCCCTCTGCTCAAGCTCAAGCTCAAGCTCAAGCGCGAGCTGAGCTCTGGCTCGAGCTCGCCACGAGGATGTTCAGAGGTGGAGGGGGGGGGTGCCTTAAGGGCCAAACTCCCGCAACACACACACACACAGAGGCCTACGGTGACAGGTGATCAGCAAAAACAGGATACGTCCGCCGAGGGAACGATGAAGGGGCCCGAATTGTGGGTCCGGCGGTAAGCAGGTATCTTGGGTACTTTTATGGTGAAATTGGTGAGGTCTATGTTCGGTTCACATAGCGAATTGTGCCAAACGGGGATTGGGTCTAGAGACAGGGAGGGGATGGGAACAGATCAGTTCACGTTCCAGGGACTCAAGCTTCAATTCGAGGGCGATGCCTACAAGCAGTGAGCTGGGGGAGAGTAGGAGAAAGTGAAGATCAAAAGACAGGCAAGAGAAGGAAAGAGTGTGGTGGTATCCAAGGGAGGATAGCAGCTACCATCACCCCACACACCCCGGCGACTGCAACAACGCATCATCGCTCCGAGGCCAGAGCAGCTTGTGCACGCCAGATTCAAACGCTCTTGAATCAGGTGGGCTCAGCAGACATATCGGCCTCGAGTTGACCACCCAGGCTCGCCCGACTCCTGCCACCAAATCTAGACCACCAGGATAGCAAGGACAAGGGTAGACCATCACAGACGCGCTGCTTCTTCTTCCTCCTCGTCTGATCCCCACATCCTCCGGCCCTCTCGCTCGCTCGCTCGCTCGCTCGTCGTTGCCTCCTGTCGACTACTGACAGTAACTAACAAAACTCCACACGCCAAGCGCTCGCTCGCTCTCTCTCTCTCTCTCTCTCTCTCTCTCTCTCTCTCTCTCTCTCGCGATTTCTACAAAACAATCAGCCCTTCAACCAGCCAACCAACCAACCAACCACACTCTTCTACTACTCACTCTCTTTGTTTCTTTCTTTATTTCTTCGTTCACTCGTCACTTCCATTCCATTCCTTGCCCGCCTTCCTTCCTTCCTTCCACCTGCCTGGTCCGACGCCCCTCGAGAACGCTTGCTCTGCTCGTCTACTAAAGCGGATCATCATCGACCTCAGACCGCTTCGTCTTTCTCTTCTTCTTCTTCGAGTCCGAGGTCAATCTCAATCGTTCATTCCTCCGGGGCCTCGACACAAAGCTAAGCTCCCCCTCCTCGGGCCTTTTCTTACCACACAGCCTAATCTATGGCAGCTCCTAATTCTCTGTCACTCGCTGTCTCTCCTCATCCTCCTCCTCCTCCTCCTCCACGACGATTTGAGCCTTCGATAAACGATACCAACGACTTGCACAGGCTGCCGAGACCTACCGGCGACCACTACAACTCCCTGCGCATTCCTGCTCTGCTCTCGGTGGATATCCGGACGATGACAGTGATGATGATGCTGATGATGGAGTCGAACAGATGAAGATTGGGCACCGTCTCGAAGGAAACGACCCCCGGGTCAACTCTCCCACTCTCTCCCACTACTACTACTACTACTTCTTCTTCTTCTTCTTCTTCTTCTTCTAATCTTCTAATCTTCTAATCTTCTTCTCCTCCTCCTCCTCCTCCTGCTGCAGCTGCTGCTCCTTCTTCTTCCACAAACACCACCACCAGCCCCACCCGTACCGGAGATCGAACGACGTTCACAGTACAAGGAACACACGGACAAGAGAAGAGCAATTGCAGCGCGCAGAGCACAAGCCCGTGGGAGCGGTAGAGAGGGGAAGAGCGAGAGAGAGAGAGAGAGAGAGAGAGTCGGGAAATCTCTCAAGGAATGGAACGATCGTTACGACCCGCAGCACACAAAATGCGAAGCATGGCGACGAACCCGGACTCTCAGAGAGGCCCAGACCAGACCCCACCTCTGACCGACTCCTCCTCACCCCCCTCCTCGTTCACCGGAATTAATCGCCATTAGTCTTAACTCCGGTCCCCCGGGCTGCCCCCGAAATCTTTCCATCCGCTTCCCGAACGCTCCTCGCTCAATTCTCGCCGCTGCTCGGCTGTCCCGGGCATCGCAGCCCCAGCCCCAGCCCCCCTCCCTCCCCTCCCTCCTGCCAGCCCCCGCGACCTGACCGAGCGAGCGACCGAGCGTAGCCCCGTCCCAGCCCCAGCCCCAGCCCCAACCCCCCAGCCCCCCAGTCCCCGTCCCCGTTCCCGACCCCGAGCCCGACGGACGTCGATTACGTCTTTTACTGCGATCCTTATCCTCTGATCGTCGTCGCTCTCGTTCTTGTACCAGCACCACAGATTCCACGTTCCTGTATGGGAGCCCCCCCGGGGGGCGAGCGTTCTTGTACGAGGCGGTCGCGCGTTCCTTCCATGCAGAACCGCCCGTCCCGAGTCCCCGTTTGTTTAGCGGGACTGTTCTAGTGAACTGTCATCGCCATACAGTGACGCTCCTTGAATATGGCTCTTTTGGACGCGCTCACAGCCTCGGGACTGGCGAACTTACCCGGCTAGTAAACATTATTATCCACGTCTCGCCGCTGGGGGAGAGCCTCTGCTGCTTCTACCGTATTGACTTTCCTCTTTGGGTAAGGTGAAGGATGGCACTCGGGCTTTGATTCCCCTGTTCGCTCCACTCCAGACGCATTCTTCAGTGTCTCGGGATTCCAGGTAATCATACACGGGAGAGTGAATCATTGACACTAATCCTCACAGGGCTCACAGGCCCCCTCCTCTAGTTCGATGCAGCAGCAGCAGCGCTTACGAGGAATCAGACGGAAGAATAATCAGAAGGTGGATACCACTCTATACGTCACAGGACCCCGAGAGAATATCTTGTGTGATTTATCGAGCGGGGCATATATTTACACATATATATGGTATCTCACGTAATGGGGCCTTGGACGTATTCTAGGGTTTGCTTTTCCAGGTGACACTTCGCAGCGCACGAAATCCACTCGAATTATTTAGTGCCAAAGAACTGTTCCTTGCGGCTGGAGACATTTCCCGGTTTCTACTGCCGAATAGACATTTGTTTATGCGCTTATAGTTGTTTATGGATCTGTATATGGAACCGCACCCCTGCACTGTATCTACGAGGAAAGCGAACGCAGGCTACGAACGAAACCTCATCTTCAATGGCTCTGACATTCTGGGGCAGGGGGCTCATGATGGTATTCACGTGGCGATCGAATATTGGCTCGAAGCTGGAAATCCAAGTGCCACGAAAAGCAGCGCAGCGTACAAGGCCCATTAAAAAAGTCGTTTTGCCGGATCCAGATTCAGATACAAGGCCCTTCGCCAGTTTTTGCCGAGGCGATGTCTCAAGGCTTGAGACAAGCTGTGGACCGAGTTTTGGCAGTAGTCACGCCTCCCCTTTCCTGGGCTTTCCAGGGCTGGCGACTCGCTGCCAGAGTCGCAGCCACTTTGAGCTTTCCCGGCATGTGGATGCACTTTGTTACGTGCAGTTAAATTTCGATCCCCGGCCACGAACGGGGATCTTCCTCATCGACGTCGCTCGTTAATCTTCACTGTGTCGAGAATTAACGCCGGCATTAAATGACGGTTTTAACCTCCATACGAGCCAAAGAAACAAGCGGCTTCATTACACGTCCTGCCCTTCATTGCTTGTGATTAGCAAACACGATCCTCCATGCAGACTTCACGAGAAGGATTCTGGGATTTGCTCCCACGTAATTTCCAGATCCTAAACAATGTTTGTTACCGAGAGCAAGAGAAAGCCCCAGCTCCATGCCGAGCTTTATTCACTCGTCGGTAGATTAAGTTGTGAAGTCAATCGCAGTCACGTGCTCGGGATTCTAAGCAACTTCTCGCTTCTGGGTAACGCAGATTTGCTCGTCTTGCTCCTCACAGGGATGCATGTGTTTCTCGATTCAGCGCCCCAAGTAATCATAAAATAATGCCTTCCATACCGTCTAGGAGTCTGCTCTACATTTCCCGTACTCGAGTTCTTACTCTACTTCCATCTTCGAGGAAGATTAAATTATTCTTCACGTACCATGTGTTGTACATCTTGTTTTCTATTATGATGGCACTCATGTCGCTTAAAAAATATGACATCATCATTGTTTACAAATAAGTACTCCTCCGACCAGCACCTCGCAGCCGTTCTGTTTGGAGCAAGATATGATATGATCGGTAATTGTTTTAGGATTACGATCTCGATTCTTATGGCTCAGGGCATTGCTTGATGTGTGATCTCTAGCAATTTCCAATGGAGAGACGTGCTGATCAGCAGCCCCTGTTTGAACTGAGCTCAGGATCTCGGAGACCCGTCTTATCCTTCAAGCTTTGCCTATAAAATTTTGCATTTTCGCATCTTCAAATGAACCTTTGTTTTTGGTGTCATTCATTATCTTTATCTACCGAGTAAGAGTATCTGAAGGCATATTCCGAGGGGATTGATCTCTCTTATCATGTTGGTTTTTGCACCCCCCGGATTTTAGGTTCAGAGTACGGAAGTGGACGCTGGGTGGTTTGACTGAGAAGACGTATTTAATAAACGGAGTTTTGTTGCGTAACAATTATGAACTCTATGCCATCATGAAGTCCACATTCGTAAACACTTGAGGGTCAGTTCTTCTTTCCGGTCATCCAACCAAACGGCCAATAATCGATCTGCAGTTGAAGCCATACCACTTAACAGGTTGTTGTAAGCTGCTCGATGAAAAAACGTCAATAATATCACTCGAAGTCTCACTCGATCACATCATCCACGAGAGAAGCAGAGAACGATTTAGTTGCGTACGATTTGAGTTGGAGTAGGAGGGAAAATATCCGACTGATGATGGATCAGTGGTCTGGACGATAGATGCAAGATCCACATATGGAAGATGTACCCTCAAGATGTCCTCGTAAACCGTTTCATAAGCTTTGGGATATATATATATATATGCTCAAACAGGAGTCCGGGAAGAGAGGTAGAAGTTTATTTAGAGTCGCATGAAACTTTAAGTGCTCATTTTCACATGCACAATTCATCGAATACGAGACATGCTTCCTTCGCAACTGTTTTTCACTAGCTGTAAAAAGTCCTTATCTTTAGTGAAGGCCTTGCATAGTGAATGTGATAAACACATCGACTGGAGGAGGAGAGATGATGTATGGGATGGGATTCTCATCACTTTCTTCTTCTTAAACTTAGTCACAGATATGACAATAGCCGACGGGAAGGGAAGTCTGTTTGGAGCAGGTGGCAGTGAGACCTTCAGGCACGCAGATTCTGGACAGAAGGAAGCGCAGAACAATGGGGGTGCAAGGGTTGTGCAAGAGTATGTCGTCGGCCTTGCTCGCATGCATAACCGAAAACCCATGCAAAGTCATGTTAACTACTCTACTGAAAGCCTGGGAGCAAGCACAGTGCGAATCGATCAGTCAACGAATCGATCGGGGATTTGATTCACGCAGGTGCCAAATGGTTGGTCGCCCTGCGCGAGAAGCAGCTCGCAACCATGTCTGGGCCATGCGAGCCAATGAGTCTGTGCCCGAGTCGAGTCGAGAGCCACTGGACGCACGCAAGGTTCGCAATGAACTGGTTCGCTCGTCTCGCTGCCCTGCCCTGCCCTGCCCTGCCCTGGCCTCATGCAGCACGGTCTGTCGGTCGGAGAGAGAGAGAGAGAGAGAGGGAGGGATGGATAGACATTCAGATAAACAGACAGATATATTCGGTCGTCCTTCCGTGCTGCTGCGGTCATTCCGTTCTTGTGGCTGCTGCCCCAGGAGCTGAGGGGGGGAGGAAAAACATCCGCTGTCCAAATCCGAGCGGGATCACGAAACGCACATTCGATGCCGCGCAGAAGGTAACACAAGGGAGCAAGGGAGCAAGGGAGCAGGCAGGCAGGGGAAGGAAAGTGGGCAGAAGGTGCCGGGGAGGGGCAAACTGTAGGGAGAGGGGAGCTCAGTCACTCACTCAATCACTCAAGCCTTCGGAAGCGGATGGAATCATCGCAGGGCCCACCAGGAGCTCGCATGAATGATGAAATTGTGGACAAAAGTGCTCGCACACAAGTGCGCTTGTGTGCCACTATTTTTGTAAGGAATCTCTCGGCCACCTGAGGACCTCGCTGGCCTGGATCCACCTTCGCACTATTGTCTATCTCTATATCTGGCTTCCTCTTTTCCCCCCTCCAAACCCCGGTCCTTCCTCCCGGCCTTGTGTACCCCCCTCCCGCGAGGAATCTTTGAATCTAATTTTCCTGGTGGTCTGTCCCCCTCTGACATCTTGCTATATCGGGGCCCTACTGGTTCCAGGTACCCCTCGGAACTTTCTCGCTTTCTCGCTGCTGCCCGGGGGCTCGCGACTCTGCTGCAGCCAGTGAACCTGCCCCGCGGGTCGGGGGGCTAACTTGGGTTGGGTTGGGTTGGGGGGTGGGGGTGGGGTGGGGGGCTCCGGGCCCCGTCGTCGCGAGGTGAATCTGCGACCTCCGCGCCGGGCCCCACCGCCCGCGGCTGGCCAATGGACGCGGACGTCGCCCCGAGACTGTCGTCGCGAATTTTTGGAGACGACTCGCGGCGTGGGGCCCGCCCCAGGAGGAGGCCCGAGCCCCGAGGCGCCCACGGAATTTTCTGCGCACCGCGGATTTGCGTCTCGGCTTCGGCGTCCGTGGCGACGGACGGAGGTTCCTCCGCGGGATGTGTCGGGGCCGATCATTCTCATCCGGCCACCGCGCCGACGACTGGTGCGCCTCGCAGACGCCGGCGCCAGCCCGACGGACAGAGGAGCGCTCCGTCCGTCCGCTCTCTCCGAAGAGCGACGCTCACTCTTCCGCCTCGGCTGCCCTGCTCGCTAACGGAGTCTCGAGTCCCGCCGGTCAGCGCTCAATTCCGTGCATTGCGCTGTACTTCCGTCAGCTCTGGGCGCGGTCGTACATACGCTGTGACGTCATTCGCTTGCGCCAGCGCCCGTAGGTTCCGACGGTCTCCGCCTCCGTCCGTTTCGCTCCATCGCCATCGGCGCTCCCGACGCCGTCAGGGGCCACAGACCGGAGCGCCCGTTCCAGGCCGACGCTTTGTCGCATGCGGCCATCGGGCGTGGGGGAGGGGGGTAGGGACCCGGCGGGCCCTGCGGTCGTTTCGCAGGGGAATAAAATAGGAAAATAAAAAGGGAAGGAGGCGGGGAAGGGGAAGGGGCTCGACCGATTTCGGGGGTGGGAACACTCAACCGTGCTGAGCTGGGCCGGTTGGGGGTAGGGGGTGGGTGGGTCACCGGGCGAAGGAATTTCGGAACAATTTCACCGCCATTTACTTGAATTTCACTCATTAGGTACAGGGCAGCGACAGATACAGGCCCCAAGGTACAGGGGATGCCGCAGTGGGCCAGAGGTGCGGTTAATCCCACGGAGCGCTGGCTCGGTTTGACGGCTGTACAACGGATTGGAGGGCAGTGGGGGCTCATCGTGATTAGTAAACAGGAGCGCACATTATTCCCTAATCACCACATTCGCTTGTCACTTCTCAACCCCCGGTCCAGTCACTGCATCAAGCTATGATTCTCTCTCGCAGCTTTTTCCCAACCCCCGACGCTTGTTTCGGAATCGACCGAATCGAGCCTGATCGAGCGCTGCGCTGCGCACCCACCAGCCAGCCAGCCAGCCAGCCCCTCCAGCCCAGCCCACCCGCGCGCCCGGCCGGCCCTCCAGCCACTTGCTCTTTCTCAAGCTTCGTCCCGAGCTCTTTCCTTCCCCCTTTCCTTCTTCGCTTCCTCCTTTTCCTGCACGGCGATTCTCGCGAGCGATTTTGTTCGCTTCTGGACGTCTCCCTGTCGCCCCAGAGGAACGGGGCTCGCTTAGATTAATCAAATCTATCGCCTCGGTGCATATATTCTGCGGGTGCGTGGCGTTTGCGCATTTCCCCGATTAGATGGTTGGTCAGGCATTCGGTCGGTCATGTCATGCATGAAGGACGGGCAACAGCAACAGGCATAGGAACAGGAACAGGAATCAGAATGAGGATAGGCGATTCTCGACTGCATCTCTCTCTCTCCCTCTCTCTGCGTTTGCCATTCCCTCCTTCCTTCCTTCCTTCCTTCCTTCCCTCATCGTTGCGTGTCCGCGAGGCTGCTGCTGCAAAAGCAGATTTCGCAGCGACTTCCTCTGGTTCTTGTGGTGCTTGTGGCTCGGGGCTCGCGGTTCGTTCTGGTTTGGGGTCGTGCCTTCGTGTGGTAGCAGGGCGACCATGAGGCCCAAGCGCAGCGGTGCGGAGCCCCAGGCACCGGCCGGGCCGCGCCACGCCGGGTCGGTAATGAGGCCCGGCACTAACCCCCTTCTTTCGCTAATTTTATTTATTTCCGGCCGGGTTTCGGAGAAAAAAGGCCCGTGGAGTCGTTTATACAAGCCCTTTTCTGCTGACCTCCGCCCACTCACTGTGGACGGGTTTCGTTCTCCCCCCTCCCGTCTCGCGTCATTCGACCGCGCGTGATGCCATGCCTCTCCCGACCCTGACGTACGTCTTGCGTCGCGACGCCGAGCCGTGAGGAGGACCCCGATGGGGCTCAGGAAGGTTTTGGGGACTCGGGACGGTGGAGATTCCATTCCATTCGCCATTCCCCCATTCCGCCCACGGCCGAGGCCCCCCCACAACGCTGCGAATCCTATATAGCCCAGATTAGTCTCTCCGGATTCGGCCCTCTTCATATTTTAGCGGCATTGGACCACAACCGCCCCCAGGTGCTCCCTTTGCGGCGGTTCGAGCCGGACGCAAAGACGCCACCCGGGCTGCGCGCACCCTGGAGCCCATCCGGATCTCCGAAGGGCGGTTGACGCAAACCTTGCTGCCATACTCTAGGGTTGGATCATAAAGTGCACTCCCTCCCTCCACGTGCGCTTCCTCTCGTCTCGCTCGACGCCGCAAACACTCAGCTCACTCTCTCTCTCTCCAGAGCTCGAGAGCTTGAGAGCTCGAGAGGTTTCTGAGTTGTGTATAATTACTGATTGCCACCGCAGAAAGCATTGAGGATTTCTGAGTTGTGTATAAAAACTGATTGATTACCACCGGAGACGGCATGGAGGATTTTCCACTCGCGCATTCCCGTCAGCGATGTGCACAGAGGACTATTGAATCACTGCTCGCTCGCTAGCTCGCTAGCTCATGGTTCAGGGACACATCCAGTGGGGGAGTGATCGATTCAGCGCAGGCATCAATCGGTGACCAGTGTCCGCGCGAGCCAGAGACTCGAGCATGCTATTTCAACCAAACAGTCAAAGCTCGAACAGAATGCTCTACGGAGCCTGGGGAGCAGCGGATCTGCGAGAGCACCATGATCGAGCTAAAATTGCACCTCGCGCTCGGAATGAGGACGGTGAAAGTACATTCTGGCACGTTCGGCTGCTGAGCCCTTGCGGGGGGAGGGCGTAAACAAAAGAACTCCGCATGCATGGCTTGGGCTTGGGCTTGGGCTTGGCTGCCCCTGGGGGCTGTGCGCACGAGCACGGCATCCATCCATCGCCTGCTAAAATTGCCAAGCCATTGACTCGGAGTTGTCCAAGCGCCCGGCGTCCGACGGATGGCGGTGGCGTCCGGGGGTCGCGTCAAATGGACCTACGTAGAGTGAGAGCAGTGCAACGGAGTTTCTGTGTTGCAAAAGGATACACCCGGCTCCCTGGCCCTGGGCGTCCATCGGTTCTCCAGCTCGACGGAACCGGCCGGACGGACGCAGGGAAGACGTCAAAGGAAAAAATCAACCGCTGGACAACCACAGTGCTCGCAGCAGTAGCGCGCAACTGGGGGCTGGTAGAGATGCGCATGGCGAGTGACGGACCGCTTTTGGACGCGGCTCAAGTGGCAGGGGTCGACGAGACCCCGGCGCTGGTTTCTTGGTCTTCCCGCCACTCGGGAGTGGACATGTGTCGGTCCAGCAGGTCGGACTCCGGGAGCTCCTCGAAGCGCGTGCGTGCTTGGCCGAGCGATGAAGCGCCCGCCATAGGATGGTGCAGGATCATGAGCGACAAGCGACTTCCCGCTCGCGGGTGCGCTGCCCCCGACCCGCTCCCGCTCCCCGGCCCGCGCTCTGGTCGCTTAGCCTGGCGAGGCGAAGTTGGGGGTTGGATCGAGGCGAGGCGGGGCTGGGGCTGGGGCTGGGCTAGGCTAGGCCGAGGGGAGGGGGGAGGGGGGAGGACGACGACGACGACGACGACGATGACGAGCCAATCCCCGCAAGAATTGAACCTTATCCGGTCCGGAATGGCGAGCGCGAGCGAGCGACGACAACCCGGCGATGTTGCAAATTGCGGAAGGCTGGACCGATCCGAGCTGTGGACGTGAGTGACCAACCAAGAAACGTGTTGTTTGGAGGATTCGCTCGCTGCTGCTGCTGCTCCTGCAGCCCTGGGGGTGGAAAGGAGTGGAGTGCAGACGGAGCTTGGTCGACGAGCTTGGCCAGGGTTTTTGGCTGCGAATCGGATTTCCATGGCTATGGCGGGAGCCGTAGTTGTCGTTCCGAGGTGCGGCACTCCCATTTCCTCGGCTCTTTCGGGGTCCGAAACATCGTGTAGTAGTAATTCGAGCTCCTTGCCAAAACAGGCGTCCTGCTCCCGCACTCCGAGCTCATTCCACGTTTCTGTCACATTGTCCTCTGCTTCTCCGTCTCTTCTGCGAAGCGGGTCGAGCTACTGGAACTCATGGACCGGACGTTCGCATTTGGGGAATGCGCAATTATTGAAAGTTATCACAGGTACGCTGTCGGATTCCTTCCTCATTTCAAACCCCTAATGTGCTGCGGAGTCTGATCCTGAAGATCGATTCAAGCATTATCTGGACTCCAATTTTGCTGGTTGGATTTAGTGGCTCTCGCTCGAAGGGAACTTCCGCTGAGACAGTAGGTCGCCACTTTTCAGTGTGGTGAATTTGAATTTTGGTTCCGTGAATGTGCTTGCTGTAATTAATCACAGATTCCAATACAACTAACGGGAAGGATTCTCCGATTGGCCTTCAATTGGCAGGAAGGCAGCAACTACTGTCAAAACAAGGCATTGTAGGAAGGGTGCACGCCTCATTACTAGGAGTCGGGGCGCCAGAGGCTCTGGTGATCGCTGTCGTGGCTCTGCTTGTCTTCGGACCTAAAGGTCTTGCAGAAGTGAGTGCAGCTTCATGCAATTCAGTCTGTAGGGGGTTTTCTTGCTTCTAGAATTGTGATCCTGAAATCTTGCAAGTTTTATTCTTTGACCCTATGAATTGGACTAATTGAACTGAAATTGGAGACCTAAATCACCCCAACGATTTCGCCTCAAGTGCGCTTCTATGTGGGCAGAGTGGAAATGTCACTGCAAGACTTTTAAGATTATCTTCGTCATGCTGTGCAAAGATGCTGTACCCAGAATGCTGATGATTAGCTGGAATTCTTCATGTTTCAGGTTGCTCGTACGTTGGGAAAATCGTTGAAAGCGTTTCAGCCTACAATTCAAGAGCTTCAGGTAGAGAGAGGTTCAAAGCGTGCTGTAATGGTTTACAAGCTGTTTGAATGAGTGGTTGCTAAATTGTGCGATATTTTTGCCCTTCCTTGGGGTTCTATAACAGACAAAAACTTTAGGTGACTTTTCATCGTTTCTCTTTCATGACATTGTGCATCGCTCGTCATGACAGACCACACCATCATAAAGTGTTGAGAAAAAGATATGATCAGCGTTGTCAATTACCTCATATTTCTCTATTCGGGTCTCTGTTTTGATTATTGCTAACAACATTTACGCTTTTCCGAACAGCAAGTGTCGAGGGAATTTAGAAGCACTCTGGAGCAGGAAATTGGCTTGGATGAGCTTCGGAATCCAAAGCCTCTTGATCCTCCTTCTCGGCCTAAATCTGAATCACCCATCACTGGAGAGATGCCTCAAGATCTTCAACAGCCTTCCGTGCAATCGTCACAAATTGCCCAGCCTCCGACTATTAAAAGTTTGTACCTTGTCTGATATGAGTCCTTACTACAAGAAATTGTTGAGTAGATTTTTTATGTCTATCTTTAATGCTAAAATGCTTGAATGTTGATGCATAGTCTCACTTATTCATATTGCGCAGAAGGACCTGAAGCTTACACGACAGAAGATTATGTTAGGGTGACAGCTGAACAAGCAAAATCCCTTGTTCCCGAAGACCTTCGCAAAGGTTAGATCCTTTCTGGTCTTGTCCCGTCTCAGATTGCACGCTGTGTGATGAGGCTTGGAGGAACTTTGTCAGTGGAAGAGCTAATACGTGTCCTTGCTTGCAGAAGCAGAGCGTGCCGCATGGGGAGGAAGTCCTCCACCTCCTCCAACAGATGTAGTCGAGGACAAAGAGGCTACAGGACCTGCGAAGCCAGAGGAGAAGAAGAGCGAGGAGATTTCATTATAAACTTTCTGATGCGGTCAGACTTTTCCAATCTGTTGGCTTTTGGAAGTTTTTATCGAGAACACACTGTAATATATCCGGAGAATTTTCCTGTTGCATTTTTCTTTCATTCTAGCGTAGTTATTGGCATTCATTCATGGTCGATTGAATAGACTCGTTTGTCTCTCTACTCAGACTCGTTATAAGTCTTGTGTCAGTGGTTGTTCACGGGAATGGAAGTCTTGTTGCTATATCACCTAGAGCGAATCAAAAATTTAGAATTGTTGATGGCATTACGTGTCTTTTTGCGTACACGTTTCTTCAGGTCATTCGACGACTCAATCTACATTCTATACATAGTACTTTGGTAACAGCCCACCCATTAACACGTAAGCCTCACACCAGCCGGTTGCATGTCTCACCACTCGCTTCTGGCCCCTGCTCTCGTTCAAAACGCAAGGCTGGTGGGCAGTTGGATACTGTTCACATCCTCAGTCGTTCCAAGGTTATATTCCCTGAAGGAAACAAACAGTTTCTTGCTGATTCTTCGGATAGTCAGTACATATGAATATCCTTTCAGATGAAGCACATCAGATTGTGCATCTTTTCCTGGCCCCACGACGAATTATTCTGCACTAGGAAAATGGACTTTCTGTGCATCTCCTTATCTGCAACTTGAAGTCGCAATTGAACAAAGGCCGTGTAAGACCAAAGCTGTATGGACAGTAATCTGTCTTCTATTGTACATCAGGCACGAACACAGGACAAACTTGATCTCTAGATGGCTACTCTGCAGTAAGTTGGCAGTGTACACAACCTTGCGATGCGGTGATTGTAAATACTTTCGTATATTCTGTGACCGCAGTAGAGAATCGCAAGACTAGATAATATCGACAATTGTTGGTAAAGATCTTCTTGCGCTGAAGCACACACGTAATGAAAATTGGGAACAGCTATCTTCCACGCATTGCGCATCAGATCTTCAACCAGGCTTTTGGATCAATGTGTAAGCAAGACTAGAGTTATGCGTGCGTAAAGAAAGTAGTTTCAGAAAAGATAGATGCACAGCCAAAGCAAATGAGTGCAAAGTTTACTGGTTATGTTCCTTGCATTTAGGGTATTAAATCACTTTTATTCCTTCCTTGTTAAGATGTTGCTAACATGCGCTCTCCCACGTCACAAACTTTACACAACATCCACGTCAAAAACTGCATGAATGGATGCAAGATACTGGCAGTGCCATAGAGAAAATAAGCCATGGACACAAAGTCGATTTGGTGGCGGATTCTTGACTTCAATCCGTTTAGATAACAATTTCAAAAATGTAGCAAAAGAAATGTTCAAGGTTGCCTGAATCTATTCCGACGATTAAAGGTAGAAACTACAAAAATTGGATGCTTTTCCGCAGATCACTCGAAGTACCTTCTGGCAAGTCGGATTCAAGCTTAAAACAAAGGTGTTGCGCAATTGTATCTTTCGTATTAAACTAACTCTCAGAAGTCTGAACACCGGGTGATGGTGCAAACTGAGAATATCGTCTAGGGTTTAGGGGTCCAAATAAGGAGAAGAACAGCAACCCCAATATGGCACATTATTTGCAGTCCTGCAGTTGCCAGCAGCAGAGCGTGGACAATCCATCAAGACCTTTTCACTCCAACTATTAACAGTATCACAAGTCATGAAGGAAGGGTTTTAACAGATCACACGATGGTACAATATTGTTGAATCTGGATGCATACATCCAGCATCAGATGCTTTCAACTCGAGCTCAACACTCGACGAGCGAGTTCGGCAGCCTGCCAAAAATTTGGTAAAATGGTACAGTTCGATGTCTTTTCTTGGGAATGTCATGGCCAGATGTTCTCCGACAGCCATGATCCTGGATACAGCACTAATATCCTCTGCGCTTGGCTGGTATGACGAGTAAACATTGCAATGTCCTGCACACGAAAATTCCAACATTCAAAATCCAATTCGCGTGTCGCCAGGAACGCAAGAGCTCAACACTCCTGCAAAATTTTCTCTTCCTGATGTGAATGTCCGATGTTCAACCATAAGTATTAACACAAACGATGAGCATTTTGACTTCGAATCCAACGGAAAAGATTTCAATTATCCTTCCAAAACGGCAGGAAAAAAAACAAACAAAAACGAACACATCTTTGGGATGCGATTGCAGTTGCCAAATTTGGGAACCACCATATGAAAGAGCACAGCTCCAGGTTGGGAAGGCTGCAATAATTTGGACAATACTCAAAAAAACAGTGATATGGCTTCCATGACTGTACCGCTGCAGCCTTCTCAAACTCACTGATTACGAATTTCTATAACCCAATCGGCCCAGACGGTGTCCATCACGACGTTTGCACAGGTGACCTGACCATATTTTACGAGACGAAAGGTCAATAAATAGACAGATTCCCAACCAGGCGATGGGGAGTGGACCTCCTCATGCTCAATTCGCAGAGAGAACAAACGAACTTACGAGAGGCAGATTTGAAAGTTACTTTCTTCTTCTTCTTCTTCTTCTAAGAGCTCGAATCATCATCGCCCTTCCGATTACTCGGTTTCCGATACTGCTCTTCCAAGTGCCTGGCGATCACAAGGCCTGTCTTGATCAGCCCCTGAATGTTGGGCACACTGTAATTCTGGGCTATGTACACTCCAAACAGGGTGCCCATGGAAAACGAGAAGGTGCTCCGGATTAGCCCCATGCTTCCAACTCTCCTCCCACCACCAGGATCTCTGCCGCCCCAAATGCAAATGGAAGAGCGACTGATCGACTGCGTGTGGGCGCGAATGATTGTCCGTATCGCCCTCTCAGAAACTGAATTCAATCTACAACCACGAGCCGGAGCCGGAGCGAGCCGACCGGAGAGCACACGGCATTTGAACCCGGATTTCGAACCTAGAATTGCACCACCACCTCATCGCTCCTCTGCTGCCCATCACCTGCGCTGCGAGAAATTGGGCCCTTTGTCTTCTCTTCAGATCTCCGACCCTGACTCGCGCTCCTGCTGCCCCTCAACTTCCCCTTCCCCCTTCCCCTTCCCTTCATGGGCGTCAGTCACTTCTTCCCCCGTCACCGCCAAGACGAGAAGAGGAGGCAACCAGGGCTTATTCCTTAGCCCCCACGCCACCGCTGCGAGCCCCCCTCATGCATCCCCCTCGGGCCTTCTCCTCCCGCTCGAGCTTCTGATCCCGCTTCTCCTGCCCCAGGCCCAGCCCCAGCCCCAACCCCAACCCCAGCCCCTGCTCCTTCCTTCCTCCTCCATTCTTTCATTCATTCGTTCTTTCACCCGTTCCCCGGCCCGCGCCCCCCGCCCCTCTTTCGTTTTCGCCCATTTCGTCTGACGGGACTCGATGCCTCCATGATTTCAGTCCTCACCGGCTGCTACCTGTTTACCCTGCCGCCAGGCGGTGGAACTGCGTGCCTCGTGCTTCCGCTCGCACTGGCACGCTTTCAGTTACACCTGGTTCAGTCGGTCCGTCGTTGCGAAGTCGTCTGTGCTGCGGTTCTTGACTGCCGACACAGCCTTGGCTGAACGGGACATGCGCGCTTGACTTTAGTAAAGTTCCAGCCATTTGTTTACACTTGATTCGGAATAGTCGGGATACAGTCATGTGTTTGGCGGCCATTAAGATTAGAAGAAAGATCGTCTCGGAGATCACTAATATTGCTGGATTGGCGGCGAATGGATGGGTAATCCTGAAGGTCTCATATTTGGCGCTTCGGATATGTACATCTTTTCTGCTACGTGTAGATTCTTTTAATCTCGTTGTATAGTATATTTTAAATGATAGATTTTACTGCTTGGGATATTCTAGTTGGTACAATCCGTATGACAATTAAACTTTGTAGGTGAAGTTTTGAAATATTCCTTTTGCATGCTTGATTTGAATATTTTGGATACCGTAAATCATATTTTCCATTAAAACATTATTGTTACGTATGTCATGTTTCCGTTTTGGTTTGTCTCTTCATAAATTGATCGTATCTTCCCATATTGTTTGAATTTTTAAGCTACATGTATTCACTGTAGTAACTTAACATTTGTATCATGATCTTTGTTGCACAATTTGGATCAGATTTTGTTTTAAAGAAGACAAGTATTTTAGGAAATATGCACTAGCAAGAAACATTGAGTCATATAGCATTTTTGACGTAAATGAAATTTTTTAATTTATTTCTTAAAATCTCATCTTTGAAAAATCTTACAATATGTCTATATATATATATATATATATATATTGTAAGATTGATTTGAAAACTTGAAAGAAGAGTTAAGTTTGATCAAAATGAAATTAACTTAAAATATTGATAAAGAAAATGATAATCATGATTTGTGCATATTCAATTCATTTATGATCAATAACTATTACATAACATGATTAATATACCACTTTGAATATATTTTCTTGCAACAAAATATAAATTTGATTATTGTATCTTACAACATCTTGGCGACATTAAATTCATGTTTTGATTTGGAATACAATGATTGCAATTAGTAACTCTAAGAATATTTCTTTGCTAATCTAGAATCAAAAATGAATTCTAAACATTTTGTGATTAGATAAAAACTTATATCTTTTTGCTTATAGCATAAATCAAAATATACTTTGTATACAATGTAAAAAGTTTTAGTATACAAGTTGTTTATAAAAAATAACATAAACATTAATCAAATTGATATGAATGTTAGTGAACTAAAAAGTTTCAACATTATCATAGGTACAATCAAATGTTGTATCGAATATGTTTCTTACAAGACAATAAGCAAATGATAGGCATGAAGATCCAGAATTAGAAACATTATTCGATCGACTATCAATTAATGTAATTAATTAGCATGTATACGTAGGTGGATAGCAATTTAACATGTGGATGTATATGTGGATTAAGATCTACATATACATCCACAATGACATGCATTATCAAAGAGTAGATAAGAGATGTATGATTTATCTTAATTATGTTAAGACCTAAAGAAAATATTACATATATAAAATCTAGATTGTGTTATAAAAAACCTAGAGTAATTTTTTTATATTATAAAATGTTAACTGATCTTACTAATAAATACCAATTATCTAGAAATTACTCCAAATTACAATTGATTCATGACAATAGATTAATTTCTACTAAATATAACAACACATACAAAAATCATGAATATTATAAATAAAAAATATCTACGTGTCATAACATAATGATTATATATGCATAAAAACTTTGTAAGGAATTTTATGTAAAATACTACAATTCAGTATCAAAAAAATTGCTTTTTTAATCTTAAAGTGTAGAAAGAAGTGTTAGTATAAATATACACAAACAAAAAGTACAATGTTATTTTAATAAGATTAAGTAAAAAGATGATTAATTTTTGGATTGAAATAATTGAATGAATTTCAGGTTGTTTTATATTTTAAGTAGAATGTTTTAAATTTTAAATTCCATTTTAAATTTTATATGTAAAATATAATATGTCTTGAATCATTTATTTTTGTACTAAAAAACGAACTATGTCATTAGCAAAAGATAGAATTGTCAAAAGCTTTTCAATTCAACAAAACCGTGTTGAAATCTTTGCTCAAAAGATGTGATAGAAGTTAAACTTTGTGGGAAAGAAAAAAATATTTACATATTTATATGTAGATAAATTTTTGATATGTCTTCAATTCTATGAAGAGGCATATCAAGGACAAATGTTTAAGATATTAGGTCCATAATTGCTCAAAGGGGGTATCGCTTTGTACTCTTTTGTGATGTTTGCTTTTTGGAAAGAAGTGCCAAATTAAAACGATCATTTTATGAAATAATGTACATTTGTGCATTAATAAATAAGAAAAAGACAAGTTCTTCTTAATAAGGGGTAATTGTTATGATCCGCCTAATAAGTGGGATAGTAAGAGAATCAGACAAAAAATGAAAAAGAGAACATGCATAGGATAAAAGTTCAATGCAGTTTGAAGACACACATTTAGAGTTTTCTAGAGAATCTTTGTCTTCATGATTTGACGTTTGCCAGATTTCCCACTCGTTTTCACTTTCTCCTTTACACAACCTGGGAGTGATCTCTCCGATGATAACTATTAATAAGGAAATCAGACAGAAAACACAAGAGAGATAATGCACAGGATACGTGATTAGTTTTTTTTGTGCTAAGTCCACGGTAATACACAAAGAAATTGTTCGACGCAGGCGAGTTAGTTCGTCTACGTCGCTTCTGCGTGTATCGAAGTAATAAGAAATAGAAATAATTATAACTGCACTTTAACTTAATATAACAATGTCAAACTAGATTTATATTATTAAGATCTATTCTCCTCGTTGTCGTGAATATAGTATCAATACTAAACAAGAAGATAAAGGCATTTGTAGTTTTGAAACACAACCTTAACACTAAATCAATTGCAAATCTTTCAACTCAGAAGGAAACTTTTTGTTATCATTGATTATAGGTTTGATTCTAATGAGCTCACATGATCAGCTTCTTTGAAGTTTTCATGACAACTGTACGTCTTGTAAATAAAATTTGAAAATTAAACGATAACTTTGTTTATCGTTTAATCTTTAGATGTATGAGTAATGGAATCTTTCAAAGATTGGGACGTCGATTACATTGACATCATGATGTGACTACTCTAATTTGAAGTGTAAAATTAAGAAGCTGTGAGTATGTCTTCAAACAATATAAGAGTTTTGGAATACCAACTTAGAACAAGGACTGTATTACATTTCAGGTGTGATTACTAAATGGTAGATCGAAATGTATGAACTCAATCAGAAAATCTTCCTCTCATGTGCAATAGAGCTACTTTTACTAAAGCTGTGTTGCTTGACACAACGAAGGCCGGCGATGCGAGGGTTCTAAATTCAAGGAAAGCGCTCTGAAGGAGCTTCTGGACGACGAGCAACTCTCGCCGGAAAATGTGTGCTTTCCAAGAACACAAATGGGCGCACAGAACCAGCTCATGGAGGACGAGGAATTTGGTGGCCTGCACTGCACACGGGGATCCTTTGACAGACGGTTGTCTGCGGAAGCAGTGGCAATCGCATAATTGGGTTTGATTACGCTCCTTTCGATGTTCTCCGGTCGAGATATTGGAGAAGAGTAGAAGACAGACACGCGAAGAGAAGAGAAGGGAGGAGGAGGAGGAGGAGTGGAGACTGATCGGCATGGAGGAGGATGAGCAAGGCGTGCGATGGTGGGCGATGGTGTTGTGGGCTTTGGCGGTGGGCTTGCTGGCACGTCTGGTCACCGTATGGATGTTGACAGGCTCTCCTCTGGTTCATGCCGAAGGCACCGGTCAGCGCAATTTGAAAACTCTCATCGTGCTTGGTTCTGGTAACTCTTCCTCTCTTTGTCTCCCTTTACAATGTTAGAATTGTGTTGTTCGGTTAGCCCGTTTGGGATTTCCTGGGTCGATTTGATCTGAAAGTGTAATTTTGTTTGATTCTTTTTCTGGCGATCATTAAACTGTAAATTGGTCGCCCAGTTCATTGTGTCTTTCTTTTTTACGCATTCAGGTGGGCACACGGCAGAGATTCTGCATATTGTTGAGAAGTTGAATTTTGAGCATTACTTTCCAAGATGCTACATTGCAGCTGTGACAGACAACCACAGTCTTGCGAAGGCTAAGAAGCTCGAAGAAGAGAAGGTACACATTAATGTTCTGTTCAACCTTTCAAGGCAAGGTACCTATTTATGTCGATCAGAGATCCCCAAAAAAACATAACAAATTGGTATGTAGTACTGGTGGCTTACGTCGTGTGAAAGAATTATAGGCTGCCGTATATTAGCAGGCTTCAGGTTTAACTACGTTCATGCACTAGTGCTGATGGCAGAATGACTGGAGATTCAGGCTGGAGAAAATGCAAAGCATTGTAGCTACTATAGAATTTACAGGAGTCGGGAAGTGGGTCAATCCTACATAACATCGATCGGCACAACTCTGTTGGCGATGGGCCATGCATTCTGGCTGGCATTCAGCATCAGGCCTGACATTGTGAGTCTTAGTTTTTGGATAATTGGATTGTGATTTTGATTTTTCTCCTCTCTACCTTATCTGAAATAAACCAGGTTTTTCATAAGTTTAATGACCTCATTGTTTCCAAGACTAGGCAGTAGAATATTATAAAACTGAATCATTCTGAAACTTTTTCAGAATCGTTTTTCTATAATCTCACTGTGGTAATCTGGAACTTGAAAGTTGTAGATTATATGTAATGGACCAGGAACGTGTTTACCGGTGTGCGTTGCCGGCTTTGTTCTGAAGGTGAGCTGTAAATTTTTCTTCCTTCATCAGTGAGGATCATTCACTGATATTTTGTCGCTAGAAATCTAGATCATCTTCATTGTCAGCAGGTTGTGAATGCAAGTTATACTTGGATGATTTCTTGTACCTAACTGACTTTCCCATACTTATAGTGTCAGTGAGTGCGAAGGTGATAATACAACGAATAGACTTCGGCGGCTATGTTTATTTCCGGTTTAGGGAGCTCCCTTGGCCTAGACTTAGTAGAGCATGGACTCTTAACCTTGACTGCCAGACATCATCTCAAGACAACTAGAGCTTAACAAGAACTGACCTTGTTCGATCCCTTGGCCAAGAGTCATTGATTCGATAGATGAGAGGTGTGGGGCTTGAAAGGTAATAACATGCCTTCGGATATGAATGAATGATGGATGAATCAAATTAGTCAGTAGCTCTATCCATTGTCAGATGCGAATATTTTTGGAAGTGTGTCCTGAACTCTTCACTTATATAGATAAGGAAGACCCTAGCCACAAAGTTTAGGATTTTCAACTCATTAAAACACAGAGTAGGTTATCATCCATTCCAGTTAGTCTTTTTCAGAAACAATCCCCAAGGTTAAGTTCAGGTCTCTGCTGATTGATCAAACAAGCCTTGAGAGTATGCTTATGACTAAAACGATAAAACATTACCAGAGACACTTGATATGTCAATTGGACACCCTAACAACCAACCATTTCACTGATCGAAGATGAGTCTTTACCCTAAATTCATTTTTTTGTCAGTGATTGATAGATTAGTGAGATATTAGACGGACGTAACAAATTGCAGACAATGAAATGAAGTTTTTGTGATTAGAGCCTATCTGAAAATTCTGAGATCTCAGCATTGAGAAGTAAAATGCTTTTCGCGGTGAGAGTTGATAGCAGCTTTTGTATTCAAATGCTTGAGTTTTCTCTCGCTTTCTAGTACTGTGATCACCAGTCTTCCTCTGTCCGTCTAATCCTCGCGGTAAGACTTCCTCATCCCAATGATCGTGTGATATCCATATCACCGTCTTGTATTACAAAATGTGTTGTTTTGTTCTCTGCTTTCCGTGTTCTGGCCTTCTGTTTTTCTTGTGATTCTTATTAGAGGACCGGACCCAGCAAATGAGAACGTTGTCATCCTCTTGCAGCCACATATGTTGTCGTCTATATTCATCTCGTCACATCTCTAAAACCTATGGTATCGTGTCTTTGTTCTATATCAATCTACAAGGGGAGGTATTTTTATTCCAGTAAAGAAGAGTACATTCGTCCTCCCTTTCTAGACATTCACATCTATAAATTTGAAGATTGAGGTTGAAGGTAACTTTGAAGATGTTCAATCGAGGCGTTACTTAAAATTTTACCATCCAGTCCTAGGTCTGGATGTCACAGTTCCAGTGAGTACTTGCTGAAGCTAATGGTGATTATCTTGCTTTCAGGTTTTGGGCGTGAAATGGGTAGTGATGGTCTACGTGGAGAGTATAGCGAGAGTGAATAAGTTATCTCTCACGGGGCAGCTCTTCTACAAACTACATCTGATGGACCAGTTTTTTGTCCAGTGGCCGAAGTTACAGCAGAAGTTTCCTCGTACGCAGTACGTAGGTCGATTGATGTAGTGCCCACTAGATTCATACTTATTCATCAATAGCATAGTCTTCCACGACTTTCTATCGAATTCTTCCAGAAAGAGAGGACCAGTAGAATGACGTGATACTCCGCTGTAACATAAACTGCTAACTAAAGGTTTTGGGAGGGCCGAGACGCTTGAATATACTGTCAAACTCTCTCTTAGGCCGTCATACAGCCGATGAAGGTGTGCATTTTTTATTGCATTACGTCTTCCGTCCAGTGTGTAGAATGTGATTGTAATCGTCTTCGTCGCGTGGTGTTTGCTATATGTAACTCATGGCTGTTCGGATAATATCGCTGCTAAATGAACCTTTTCGTGTGAACTAAAAATCAATTACTTATTATTTGATGGACCGTAGATGAAAGCTTAGAAGGCGAATTACAGATATTTCAGGAAACTTGGGGATGGAAATGCTTAACAGGTGGAACACACAACCCTTTAACTCAAACTGAACAAATTGAAACAAAGTTCTGACAAGGCACAGAAGCAAATAACCACCGACTGATATTTCAACGTTCCCAGGATATTGTGACCATGTCTCCGTGACTGTTGGTAACCCCATTGTTGGGAAACATCATTCCATCAAGTTGCTCGTTTCCTCTTATGCTGGGGAATCCTCAACTCGAAGTTTGTTCTTTTATGGAAGGTAGTTGCCAACAAAGTTGAACACGGAAAGCATGAATGTACGCAGTAAGTCGGGTTAGACTCATGGATAGAAAGCACGACAGAGCACACAAAGAGCTAGACTCACGTGCACATTATTCCTTGCCAACTTAGCTGTCAACACATAAAGCATCACGCGTATGTTCATAGCTGCATGCATTCAGGAGCAGTCACAAAGTTTACAACCCTGCAGGCCATAGTCGGTTAAGACGGTCAGTGGAAAATCACAGAAATGGAGTTAAGGAGGGAAAGTCTATTCTCAACCCGCGCCAACCACACAATACTACGTCTAGATTTGGGCAATGCAGGGGAGTCAATATGACTTGAGAATCTTAAATTCGTTAAAGTTCCAGAGTAATTGAAATAGAAGACAGCCCCTAGGTTTGGAAGGTTCAAACCCAACAATATATTGTGAAGTAACACACCAAGCGAGTCTATACAGTGACTATAACTATCGTCGCTCGCTCGGTAACTCCACACTTCACCTGCATTAGCTAATGTACACTTCTTGATGTGCACTCAGAAATCACTACATTGGATTCAAGGGCCTGTGCTTTGAGGCCCAGACTTCGATTGCTGTTGGCAGTTATAGTCATTTACTTCAAGACCCGGACTCACTGATCTATTTTCGGTTTGACTGAAACTGAGTGTTCATTCCATTCGGACATATAATCCAGACGGGCGCCTAGTTTCTCATCGGCATGGCTGCCCACGGACATTGAAGAATAACCCATCATCACGTTTCATACAGCACGTCCAGATCATACTTACAGATACTGACTTGACAGACCTCCTATCCTGACTAAAACTGATATCCAAAATCTAGGTCTTCAAAGCAGTAAATTTTGCACTCGGAGAGTCGGTGAGGGTGAGTTTCTTTGACTAGAGGAGTGCTCAATGCTCAACATGTGCTCTCCAAACGAACAGGCTAGATATCAGAGCATTAAGTGAAATAGATATCAGAAATTTTTCAAATGTTCTACCAGACTTTCCACCAAAAAGATTTAATACTGCGACATACACTAAAACGTAGCTGTACTCATGACTTCCAGAACCTGACGAGCAGGCCCGATCGACATGCAGTAGGCTGTGACGAACAGAACATTAAGAGTGTCCATACCTTGCCTTCAGTATTGACAAGGCCAACCATTTCTCTTTTGGCTTTGCGTCGCGTGGTTCTTCCTTAACACCGCCGTATGTATTCCAAATATGATACAACACATCACTATTTAAGCCAGAGCAACTATTCGTATGCCTGTTCTACTGTCTTCTGCTGCTCACTCCGGATTTCCATAGAATAGGAACCGTTCTTGTGATAGGTCCTCTCGCTTGTGTATAAGTTTTCCCATCCAAGGCTCACTAACAAACAAGAAACTCTGGGTCAAATGTGAACACTGTCATCGTATAAAAGAAGTAATCGGAGAGAACATCCATACACAATCGCACGCGCCACCACCGCCCACTTTGATGTCAGGAACTTATGAAACATGGAAAACTCCCAATGACAAATTCTCTTGTTGATGATTCAGACTTCGAACAAAACTCGCCAAAAGGCACCTTCGTTGATCAGAATAGGGCTAGGATGAGAACAGGTCCTATCTAACTAGCTATTTAAAACACAGGATCTAAGAGATATGACTCCTGGTGTCCCGCTGTGTAGTCCTCTCCTAATCATGAGGCATCTCGAGCCCAACAAAGCTACAGTAGACAGTGAACGATCTAGGCAGAAGAGATCCAACGATCGGTGGCGCTTCGTAGGATCAACCTCTTAAGTTTGATAGAACTTCCCTCACAACAGCGACTCATGATTGGCATGGCATTCCGTTTCAGGACTTAAACAGGGAGTGTGCTGATCACGTTTACTTCCATGATCTAGTTCAACATACACATCCATATTTTCGGACTGATGACTGTAGAACCAAAATTGGATAAAAGCCCAAACTTATAGCTCTCTTTAAGTTTCATGCGCAATTATGCTGACCCCGTGGCTACGGCAGGGGGTGGAGGTCCTGATGGTGCTGGGCCGTTGGCGTGCCCATTGTACATCATGCCTCCACCTCCACCTCTGCCTCCCCGTCCACCTCTTCCACCCCCACCATAGTGTTGACGAGGGTAAAACCCTCCTTGCTCAAAGAACTGTCCTCCTCCTCGTCCCCCATTCTGGTAGCCCCCGGGAGGTCCTCTGCCAGACCTCCCACCACGTCCACTGGGGAAACCTCCTCCACGTCCACCTCGGCCTCCTTGACCACCGTAGCCGCCTTGCCTTCCCCTCATGTTATTTTGATATCCACCACCCCTTGGTCCTCCTTGTTGATGGCCGTGATTGTGATGCTGCTGTCCTTGAAGACCTGGTTGCACGTTCACTTGCTGGACATGCTCATGCTCTGACGTGTTCTCTTGAACCGAAGATGCTTGATTAGCCTCTTCGTGAGAGCCAAACTACCAGCACAGCAATGTGGTTGATCAGCAATGGGCGAGAATTAAATGAGGCAGCAGGAAAAGTGGAGGGATCTGTTTCACTCTGGAACGGCTGTTAAGACTCGACGATTGCAAGTTTACATAACCATTTACACTCAGACATCCTACGAAAGTTCAGATTATTCTTGACACAAATCAATCTACCTGAGGCGTGTCTGCGACTGCACCCATAGTTTCAGGTACAAATGGTGCCGAGTTGGTCAACTGCACCAACGGACTTGTAGCCAAAGGGATTCCATTGGCGATTACCATCGGAACGGCGGGAATGAACTCTGGTCTCGGCTGAAAGTACTGAGTATTGACAGTCACATCCTGCAAACAACAGTTGTCGCGCCATGATGCTCCAAGTAAGTATATTGACTTGCAGGGGCTAACTCCGAGTGGAAAGATAAAAAACGTTTATAAACCAAATCTAACGCGCTTGCATCTCCGTGACCGAAGTACAGCTGAAAGATTTGATAAACAAATTAGGCTCCATTTGCTATTCAAGAGGGGATGGAGTAGAAGAAACATCACGAGGAAATATGCGACATACTTGATAATATCCGACAGCACTGTCATCCTCTTCGGCGATAATACCGGCCACAACTTGGGGCTCTAACACTGTAACTTTCGTGACATATTGACCTGCAGCTGTAGCAGCTGCTGCCGCCGTTTGTTGACTGACTGTTTGCAATTCTGGCGTCATTGTAAAATACTCCGAAGAGAGTATTCTATTTAGCCTTTCTCTGAGTCGCGAGTCTGACAAGAAAAGTCAAGGAATGTGCATGATTGGACGCTACGATTCTGACGAACGATAGAAACAACAGTTCTCCATGCTTGTGAAAACCCAGAAAATGCAAAGAACAGTAAAACCCTGATTACTGGCATCTGCATAATAATCAAACCTCAGTCCAACCAGATTAAAACTGTCACAATTGGGTTCAATGGCTACAACTAACCTAACCTTACACACCCTTGTTACTAAGATCATGTTTTCAAGAACACAGAAACCTTCTCTAATAGAAAAGGTTAATACTGTCTCTTACGAATGCAGTGTGCCCTGCTGATCTCCTCGTGATTACAACAAAACCCTAAATTACCCTAATTCAGGTTTTGCGCTTACAACGTAAACCCCAGACCATACTGTAGATCGATCGGGCCTGTGGTAGCGACGTGTACTTCGGCACTAGACTAAATTAACTGGGAGACTGAGAACTGAAGAGATATTGAAGCAACCAGACACTCAGGTAAGTCAAAAGTCAAGTCACTGATAAGCCCTAAAGAAAACCATAATCTGCGAGATGATATGATTAAGCTGTGAATTGATTGATAAGCAACATCGCCGAACGTGTTGATTTGAAGATCGAAGATAAACAACAGAAAATAGGCAATTTTTCGCGATTTGAAGAATAGCAGGATACATGGAATACCGAGCTCGCCCACCGGACCATCTGACCCGGCCATGTAAGCTTTGGCGTGCTCCACGCATTTCTCCAGCGCTTCCTTGTGAGACAATGTGACATTGGGCGACCGTGTGGTCAACAGAGAACCGAAGACGGAGAGCGAATCCAGATCACCTTCGACGAGGGGAGTGGCGGCATCATCAGTTACAAAATCGTAAGAAAGACATGAGCTTCTTTCGTGTACTTTCGTCCACACAAACGAAGGGGCTTCTCCTTGAGAACGCACATCAAAGAGCTGGGCAAAGTAAAGAAGTTTCAAAAGATCTCCAATCTGAGAGTCGGTGAGAGAGCCGGAGGGCGCCAAGCTCTCATCGACTTCATGATTTTCGGACGCAGCATTGTGAATCTCATCCTCCACCATTTCCACTTCAGTCTCATCAGTTTCACCATTACCGTGCTCGTGGACGTCTCCTTCAGGATCGGCGGCAACAACACCCTGTTCGGGTGGGGCCTCTAGTCCATCCTTCCCTTCCTCGTTCTCGACCGCGGCAGCTGCGGGTTTTAATTGATCCCTCTCTGCCTCGTCACCAACACTTTCCTCCTCGTCTCGCCGCTCAAGAGATGCAGCCATAAGCTCCTTCTCCCGCTCGCTCACCTCCTCCCTGACGGCAATAAGGAGCGGCTGCCGGAGCTTTTCATACTCATCAATCAACGCCGCGATAGCTATCTTCGTCTTCAACACATCCTCCTGTTCTTTATTCACGGTCTTCCCTTGCGCCTTGTTCTCCTCTATCTGCAAAATCCTATTGAACTTCTTCCTCAGAGCTCTAAGCCTCTTGCTCATCATCGTAAGCACGGGCCCATCTTTGGGCCCCCCGGTGTTCGCATACCCCTCATCTGCGTGCGCTCCTTCCAGCCCGGCCATCCCCCTCCCACCTTGAGATTTCCCCGGTCTCTTGTTCTCCCCGTGCTCGCCTCCGTCTGCCCCGTCTGCCCTCCTCAAGCCCTCATGTCCTCTCTCATCCTCGACCCAATGCACCACCACACCACCAACACCGCCTCCCCCGACAATCCTCCTCAGCTGCCACTCCTCCTCGTCCTCTCTCCTCCGCGAATCGCCCTCCTCGCCTCAATCGACAACAAACAACAACAATCGACCTCTGCTCGCCCTGCCTGCTCCTCCTCCTCCTCCTCCTCCCTCCTCTCCCTCCTCCTCCCCTCTTTCAATCGGATCCCGTCCGGCCCTGCCCTCCTCCCTCCGCCCCCTCCCTGCCGTCTTCTGCCCCTCCGTGCCTCTTGCCTCGGATCTCTCCAGCTCTGCCACTCTTCTCCTCCTTCGTCGTCGTCTACCGGATCCGATACACAAGCCTCCCTAGCATCCCACTACAGACTCCCCCTGCCCAGTCCCGTCCGAAGCAGCCCCGGATCTCCTCCACTCCAGTATGAAGATTTTGACTGTGCGCGCGCCAGCAGCAGTGGCAGAAGAAGAGGATTTACGAGCCACGCGCAGACTCTGAGACAGGAGCCGAGCCCGAGGGGAAGAGGAGGAGGACCTGCGAATTGCTCTCGCCCAATGTCATCCCCTCAGCACCATTTCATTTTCTCCCCCACCCTTCCCTTCCTCCATAATTACTTGCTCCGCGCATCAAACCCTAAATTCCTCCCTCCCGCCCTGCCTTCGCCATCTATTCCTTCCTTCCTTTCTTCGACCTCACTGCGCTCCCTTCCACCACACAAACCCTAATTTACCACGCCCTGGAGGGCCTCCGTATGCGTTACGGGCGCGCCGGTGCTAAGTGTTACGCGCGCCTCCTTCTGCTATCGAGAGACCTCATTTGCTGTGGCATTATCCGTTTCCTGATCTTCCTCTCTATCTGTTGCCTTCCTTGCCTCCCTTTGACCGACCGACCGACTGCACAGCCGGGTCTCGCTTCTATTATATTTCGGACGCAGATGGCCGCGTAATTATCGAGCCCGTGGTGCTGTTGCGGGTGCGGGTGCTGGGCGGTACCTACGCTGCGTATGTCTCTACTATACTGTATTTGGAGGTCGTAGGATTTCCGAGTTTCTTAGACTCGGCCATTTATTATGTTTTTCGATGGAGCCCCTCGTACGAGATTGGAAAACCCGCTCGGTTTCGTTTGTCTCACGTTTTTGCCTTTTGAACTTGAGGACCTCGGACACGAGTGCCGCTTCTTCCATAATTATTTTGTGTAAATTTGTGTTTCGTTTTACTCTAATCCATTGAGGGTTTCTAACCATGTTGTATGGAAACATTTTCCATTTCAGAACATCCTTTTCTCACGCACTTGAACCAATTTTTTGTTGATAACTGATATGAAAAATTCTCTCTATTATCGGTATGAATGAATTTGGATGTTATTTGTTAAGGTCAATGTCACATGAGGTGAGTTTAATCCGAACATTGCCCCCTTTTGAGGTAAACTCGCCATGACTCCATATGCAAAAGTGGCACCGAGTAATGTGGAAATGTAATTGCCGGAGTAATGGGGATACTCCGGCAATCACTAGTATACGGATGAGTCCAAACGGGTAACATCGGGCTAGGCCCCATCTAGGTCACCACAAATCATGGTTGGATGAACATTGTAATATGAGGGTAAAAGAGATCCACATATGGCATAATTGTTGTCAGTATATATCCTTCGCGTCTCCGTTTTACCTTTGTCTCACTTTTCTTCGTCCAAAGTTTCTGTAATAGAAAACATTTTGGCAACCCTTGTGTCAATTTTTTTGGTGACTTTATCGTCTCTGAAATTATTCACGCTTCTTATTGTTCACGAAGAAATAGTGACTTCTGTGCAATATGGTAGTAACTGGTCGCCATCAGTATCATGTAGAATAACAAATGTTATCAATATCTTCTTTAGATATACTCATGTTGGTGAACCATTGTCACATGCGAATCATTTTGTATAGTAAATGTCATTTAAAACGCTATCTTGTAAGATGTAAATTGGTTCCAAATGTCTAATCTAGATATTGATGTTCATCATTCTTCTTATTCATGTGTACCTCCTCATCTGTAATTAGATATTGGCGGGAGAGTCAGTATAATTATATTGCAAGGGTTTACTTCTTTGAAGAATGTGATATGTCTATGGGATTCAGCTTGATCTCAACTGCTTGCAAAGCTACAGATAAATTCCGGAACTTACCAAGAATCTACCAATAACCTCTAGATTCATGCATTCATACCTTTCTACAATGAAAATTTTTACTTCAACCTTCTGATGATGAACATTTGACAATATTGGACAAAGTATTATAAATCCAGTATTGCACTGCCTGACCTTAGTCAATAAGTGTTTAGGATTTATGATCACATAAAATAGTTTTTTTTCATCAAATTTAGTTTTATCAGTGTGATAACTAACCCTTCATCAACTTCATATTTCTTGCTTTGAAGAAGAGAAGTATATCAAAGAAGAATTTTTTAATTCTCGAGCATATCTATGCTTTCATGAACATAACAATCAACCATATAATTAGTCTAAAACAAATTTTTTCCAAATTTTACACGTATTCTAAAATTCTAGTATTTCATCATATTCTATTATTCAAAGCGTTTACATGATATGTGAACTTTTCAAGTACAAATTGAATCGCCTCAGTTTTCTACTGTTAAATTTCTGAAAAATATAAAATTTCAATTTTTGTTCTTCGATTTGTTGGAATCTTTTTGCTTTTATCTTTCAAGAAAATACCTCCTCAAAAAAAAATTAAATCTCAAGAGAAATTAATCTTGTCTTAGGTTTAATTTATTTTAAAAATTTGTAAATAAATCCAAATTCAATGACTATTTCACGAACATAAGTATTAAATGCCTCATTACGCGGCAGATTATTGTCAAAAATAAAGTCTAAAATATATTTTTTAGTTGAATGCTTCACGTTTAATTCTATTACTTTATTTTCCCACATGCTTATATCAATCTATGAAACTCAATGAAATTTGTCAAATTTGATGGATGGTTCAGTTTTTTTTTCGTGAAGACTCTGAATAGTTTGTAATTGTTTTTTGATTTTTTATGAACACACTTAAGTTTCTATCATTGATAATTAAATAATAAAGCTAAGATTTTATTAGAAAGCTTTAGCTTCAATATTTGTAATATTAATCATATAGATAAACGTGCCCGTTTTTTCAGATAAATGATTTTATGTATACATCTTTCAAACTAGGATTTTAATTTTACATCCGAAATGGTATAATATTAATGCTTTTGACAGGTTTATGCAAGATCAGTGACTACAAATCTTTATTAATCTAATCTTGAATATAAATTTTAAATCATAGATCTACAAAAATTTGGAAAAGTAATAGATTTGTACATTATCTTGCTTACATTTTATATGTCTTTATCTATAAAATCTCTTGTATATTGTTCCTTTCTTATATATGCAAAGAGTACATGAAAACGGATTAGAGTATTTTCAAATCTTAAAATACAAATTTATACTTATAGGTTAATATATTGTGAAGATTTAAATTCTGATGTTCAGATTGTATCTTACTATACTATGTCTTCAGCTCGAATATTTGAATGATTTTTTTTCACATATTTGATCCATTCAAAATAGTTGATATTTTTTGATTTTTTAAATTTCAGTTTGATACATTCACATTGATTATGTCTTAATATATCTCTGACCAAAATTAATGAAATCATTTAAAATTGGTTTTTGTTGTCCCTCAGGGATACACATCAAATCGTACGTATTTGTCTTGAATTGCCATATATTCAACTTGGTATGTAGATTTTTCTTCAAATTTGTTTGAATAAATACTTGTTTACAAATTTCACCAAGAATAATTCAATAAGAGATTTAGTTTTACAGGAATTACTAATTTTGGTTTCCGAATGAATCCAAATATATTATATTTGATTAAGATCAGCTGATTTCAAATTCTTTTGTCATTGAGATCAGTTAAAACAAAAAGCGAAGTAAATTTTTTGCATCTTTCTTACGATGTGTTAAACAGACATAACAAAGTAACATCTACAAATATTATTTTATCTCATTCATGAAGTTTTGTCATAGTTATGAAATACGAACAAAGTAAAATTCTGAATTGATGTCACAAATATTATTTTATCTCATTTATGAAGTTTTGTCATAGTTATGAAATACGAACAAAGTAAAATTCTGAATTGATGTCACGTGTAGAACAAATCATCATAGAAAACAACCATTCCTCATTGCTTCGTAATTGAATATCTTTTGACATAATCTTCAAACACATGGACATCAACGTGTGTTTTACATTTCTCGTAAACATCAAAACTGTATACTAGAGACGTAGTGTTAGCAAATCTATGTATAAGTTTATAAATGAAGGCGGTATTCCATTATGATTAAAAATATATTATATTATTACATAGAAAATTATCATTCAGTAATTATTGAAATTTGTTGTAGTCATTCACGTAGAATTAAGTGTGAGAGATTAGTTTATATCGCTTATAAATAATGTCCGAAAATGGTGTTTGTACGTTTGCAAATAACTTGTTATCTTCGTTGGCACTGTCAGTGTTATATACTTGAGTTGATATTATTTGTTCCAGAATAAACTTCATATCAATTGTTCAAACTTAACATTTCTCAAGCGGTCTGCGATTTATGTATTTATTTACTTGGATATTATGTTTGTTTATAAGTTTATATTCAGCTTTTTTATGACATCATTATTGACAAACAATTTATATAATGAAAGATTCTCAAACTCTGCAAAAATTGGGAGTGCTCGAATAACCATAGGTTGGAAATTCAGAATCATTACTTTTTGAAATATGTTGATATTTATCAACATATTTGAAATGCTCCGTAATGTAAAGAATTATTTGGAAAAAATTATACACATTGTTTTGGAATCCTGAATTGTACTTTGGAACCTTGTGCATGTGTGCTGGATAACTCTTGAATGTGAACTCTAATGGACCATCAGGTGATTTCAACATTGATCCAGCAGAAATAGTCGGGAATGGATTGTTCGACTTAAAACTCTGAACCAAATTTGTACTAAGTTCACTGATTCTACATAGGTCAATGGAACAATTCACGGAAATTTCTCGATTATTCCATATAGAATGTTCCGTAACGTAAAGAATCTATGAAAACTTTGAAACGACAACAGTTAGAAATTTTCAAGAAACCGGTAAGTTCACCACACTCATAGCAGACATACCTTTCGTAACAACTAAATAATTATTGAATGACCGAACGGAAGTTTACGGGTATGAGTTGAGACCCCATGGTCTTCATATCAGGTTGTACCGATCGATGACTGAAATTCGCGTCTACTCATATAGTAACAATATTTGCAACGATGTGAGTATGATATGACATTTTGATATTGACACACATCGTGTGTAAATTTAGAAAAGAAAATGTAGCATCAGACGAGGTCTAATTAGGTGACACAAACCATGTTTCTTCTTTAAGTACTTGTGCCAATGCAAATAGTATGACTGTAACTTCCACGTTAGGTAAGCTTACTTTTTATATATTATACCCATATTTTTTTTAAAAGTTGTGATATATATACATATATATACACACCTCGAACCTTGATTATTAGGACCGAGGAAAGCTTTCAGTTCTGTACCTTTCTCTCAACACTCGAAATTAGAAAGCTCAATGTGATTTGCAGAAATTTTCAATCTCTCTAAACTCGGATGAAGTAGCGCACAAGGGTCTGCAATAGACGTCCATAATAAATTTTATTTCCCATCCTTATATTTCATAAAATATATAGAGAAATTTCCAGTAAAATTCTATAATTACACATAGTATCGTCTTGCGCCGGATTTAAAAAGAATAAATCCTCTCAAAACCACATAAAAAGGTGAGGTTCTACGAGAGACGTTAGACGAACCAAGGGTAACGAGAAGTGTAAATAGAGGGGAGAAATGGAAGAGGACGCGTAAAAGCGGAAACGAAAGGAAGGGAGGAAAGAACGGGATACGGTGGCAGCCAGCGAGTTCGCAAGGGCGTTGGTGCGTCCAATTATTAATAATTCGGGGCCGGACACGCAAAACCCTAAATCGAATAAAGCAAGGAAGCAAGCAAAGAACGAAGTTGACGCTGCACGCTTGTGTACAGCAGCAGCCCAACGAGACGCAAGCACCAGCGCTTCATGTTCCGTGTGCCAGACCGCATCTTCTTCGTTCGGAGTCGAGCAGGAGGACAAGGAGGAGGAGGAAGAGCTCTTTCCTCTGTTCCATCGCACCCGAAAGCGATCGCGTCCTGTCGCCTCTGCTACAAGAAGCCGAAATCTCGGAACCTTCCGGCTTTGGAAATTTTCGACCCCTCGACTCAAGCCCCAACCTTCATCCATTCGTCCTGACACTCCCCCGCACGGAGGGCGGTCTGTCTGACACGCCCTGATTTTTGATAGCGTCGAGGCGAAAGAGAATTCGAAGATTGTCGTTCCTTTGCGCTAGGAAAGGAGGATAGGAAGGCGTAAGGGTGAAGCAGGTTGTAGGGATTTCAAGAAAGGTTCGTCAGGGTTGTCGCCCCGCGTTAGTAATGGCCGCCTTGAAATATCTGGAGACGCAAAGGGCTGCCCAGCCAGAGCTCGCGGAGTGGTATGGTTCTTTAGCCGATCTGTATGAGCGCAAGCTATGGCACCAGCTTACTCTGAAGCTCGAACAATTTGTCGCCTTGGCGATGTTGCAGGTAATTTGAAGTTTCGATTCCCTGCGATCTATTTGTTACGGATTTGTAGCTCTGTGTGATCTCCCCGAACCCTCAACCGGAGGTGTGTTATCTGTATTATCTACCGATCGAAAACAACACCCGATCTCGTTCACCTCTGTCCCGTATTGACAACTCTCGTGAGTGTACAGTACCCACGTCTGATTCTCGAACACAATCATGTCCAGCTGGTCACAGTTTCCTACTAAGCGGCTATAACAAACGATGTCTTATGTTCGTCGAATGCCTGTGATTTAAGGTTAGTGTTCCGAAGTTGATGACTTCGCAGCCTTAGTCGTTTTCCCATTTTACTTAAGAGAAACTTCCTGCCAGTGCTTCTTCTGGCTTGAGTGAGGAGCTTTTACAGGCAATCGATTTACGAGGTATACTTGGATCGTTTCTTCTTTCATCCTGTGTAGCATGATTTATAGCATTAATGTATATGGATGCCTCACAATGTGTACACAGTTCCGGTAGTAGGTGAGGTGATCGACCGAAGGAGAACTTCCTACGTCCTGCAATAGAAACTTGGGCGTCTTGTTACGTTATTAATTTTGCATTTAAACATCAAATGTTTGTGATATTCGCTCATGATATAAATTTTCACCAGTTTCCAAGCTTTTTGAAGCGTCCTCAATATATTGAGCTGATATCTGCTCTCAGGAATCATTTTTCAAACACTGACATCATAGTCTGCTTTGGACACAATTTAGGTGCTGGTTCAATATGTTCATAATATGGAATTCCACCCCTTGTAAATCTGGTCTGTGATATTCAGGTTCCACTCAAGAGATATGTATGCAATGCATGGCCCTTGATTCCTCCACTCATTTGCCTCTTTACCTTCTACATTCGAGCAGTCTGTAAATTAAGACACCTCTTCACAACCTGGGCCATGGGCCTATTTAGCCTTATTATCGGGAGCTGACCTTTCCTCGGGAATTGCACTGAGAAAATGTTTTCATTTTTCATTTTGTGTGAGGCTGGGACGAAATTAAACTAGGTCCACTTCCTTGTCTTAATTCTGCCCTTTCCATTCTTGGGTCTCTTTCCTAAGAAATAGAGGAGGTTAATTTTGATTCTTTTTCTTTCTCGGACGCATTTAGATGCACATGTGTAATCGTTGGAAATGATGCAATTAAATTTTGTTGTGCAGGCAGGCGATACTCTTATCCAACTGTATCACAATTTCATATCGGATTTCGAAACGAAGATTAATCTTCTGAAGCTAGCCCATTTCGCTGTCATCGTATCTCGTCAGTACTCTGAGGGCGATGTCGCAATCCACTACCTGGAAGAGGTTATTGAAAAACTTAGGGCCTCACGCGAAAGACGTATTGAAGAACCTTTGGATAAGTTTCGAACTTCGAAGGACAGACGAATCGAAGAAGCTATTTTGTATGTTCTGATGCAAATCGCAGCCCTGAAATTGCAACAAGGAGAGCAGAAGCAGTGTAAGACTATTTTGGAGGAGGGAAAGACGACTTTGGATAGCATGACAGATGTGGATCCTTCTGTACATGCCAGCGTGCACTGGGTTTCCTCCCAGTTTCACAAATCAAGGCAGGAGTTTGCAGACTTCTACAAGAGTGCTTTGCTGTACCTTGCCTACACCTCAGTGGACACTCTAGCCGAGCCCTTTAAGTTGGTAAGAGCCCCCAATCAAGCACTTATGCTCCTACCATTCGGGTCGGTTACGTCACATCGATGTGGAACAACTTGTTGCACACATAAAAATATCTTATGACTAAAATCACAAGGCTTCATCGTTTGCTTGCTTGCAGTCATGTAAGAAGTGGTCTCTTAACGTACCTTTCTGTATGTAGATTCCGTAGAGGAACAAACAAGTAAATGGGAGAAACCACGAAATTCAGTCAAAACTTACTGGGTTGTGTCATGTGCAGGATTTGGCTTTTGACCTCTCTCTCGCAGCTCTCTTAGGAGACCACATCTACAACTTTGGGGAGCTGCTTGCTCATCCCATTGTGAGTACCCATCTGCTTTTTTGGCACAAGAACTTCTGGCATGGGGGAGATAGGATGTTAAGATTGGTTGCATACTCTCCTTTCTAGAACAGAGGTTTGCACATCAGACACTTAATGCTTTTATTGAATAAGCAAATTGTAATCTCTTGTAAACCTCCTTTTCAAAGTTTTAGCAACTTGACTTATTCTTTTTCCGTTCTGCAGGTCAAGAGCATGCTTGGAACTGATAGCGAGTGGTTATTCTTCATATTGCAAGCTTTTAATGCCGGGGATTTGGCCAAGTACCAGGAGTTATGTCTTAAATACAATGCAGCTCTTACTGCACAACCTGCTCTTGTGGATAATCAAGCGAAGCTTTGGGAAAAAATCAACATCCTTTGCTTGATGGAACTTATCTTCAGGTACTTAAGGTCATTGTACATGTTAAGGCCTTCAGTGTGCAGTATCGGTTGTCCAGTAATTGAACAAAGTGGTGTATTTGCAGTGGAAGGAATGAGATTTGCGCCATTCTTTGTTTCACGTTTCTTTTGATGCTTTTTTCCATAAAGATCACTACTGTCTCAGCCTTTCAGGATGTAGCACATTGGTTTGTTTCTTGAACATTTTATACTCGCGAATTTACTCGAATCTAAGGGTTCTTGTTTCCTTGTTCCCCAGTCGTCCATCAGAGGATAGAACAATACCTTTGAGCGTCATAGCTGAAAGGACGAAGCTTTCTCTGGATGCCGTGGAGCATTTGCTAATCAAAAGCTTATCGGTAAGAGTTTCTAACCTTTTACTGCTGGACTTGTGTTAACTTCTGACTTTCTCGAGTTCATGATTCTCGTCGCTTTAGTCTACACGGATGACGCCATCATCTCAAGAGCACGGTCTAATATCGGTTAACAACCGCGAATTGTTAGGTTCACCTGATTGAAGGCGTAATCGACCAAGTGGAGGGTACAGTCAGAGTTTCTTGGGTGCAGCCACGAGTTCTTGGGATTCCTCAAATCACGGCCCTGCGAGATCGCCTCGATACATGGCTACAGAAAGTGCACACGACTTTGCTAGCTGTAGAAGCAGAGACTCCTGACCTTGTAGCGGCTTAGGTCATTTTGAGCTGGAAGCCAGCTACCAGTGATTATATTTCCCACCAAAAGGATGTCCATGCGGTCCTTTTTCCATTGTTGCAGTTTCAACGTACTGTCAAGGAGGGTTGAGATGTTGGAAACCGACAAGTGGACAGAATGTATACCATCGAGAAGTCAGGTCAACAATCCTTTCGTTGCAGCTATTGTAAGACAGACTTGAACTTGTCTCTGGACAGCGTTCTAGGCAAAACCAGTACCAATGAATCTTGTACAGTAGATGCCAAGCATGACTTGAAGAAGGCTACTGTAGTCTCTCGTCTCACCGGCTGGCCAGATGCTAAGCCAGATTTTCTCCAAATGACGCAAATTGTAGTGCTGAGGGGCATGCAGAAATCTCAACTGCTCACGCTCACCCATGTAGAGCTGAAGGGAAAGCCGTGTGCAGATATGACCGCGAAAGTTACATTCATTTGATTTCAAACTGTGTCCGAAATTCAAGTACCGAAATGAGGAATTTTTCCATTATCAGTGTCTTCCACTGAAGTCCAGTCTTCGTAAATCTGGTTACTTGTGTAACAGCAATGGCTGTCACGATGGATTACTTTTCACCGATACATCAGATATTCCTCTGATTGTTTGCTCGGTGAATGAGCTCAACTTTAGATGTGTTATTAATGGTGATGTCATTTACAATGGTCGACATTTTTGAGAGGTTGTTTGCTAGATTGTGTATCGGTATGTAAAGCGGGTTTACTGTACAACTATTTATGTGTTATATCAACTATTTCGGAGTTCCGTTGAGTTGGACTGGTGGTAAGACCGAATACCTTTTCCTCTGGTATATCAACGGGGAGAAAACTGATGGTATCACAGCATCACTCCTTTGCGTTGTACCCTATGCCAGGCAGAGGCTGGCAATTCAGGAAACAAGGTTGCCTCACTCCGTGTACCCCATAGGTCTTCAAGGCCTTCGAAGTAGTTTACAAATTGCTCTGTCGAAGTTTTCAGCGACAAATAAGTAGAGTACGAAAGCTTCACGTATATCCACCACTTTCTTATACAGAGTACTGGTAATTCAGGAGTACCCATCCATCTAGTTAGATATCATAGTGATATAGTGACATGTGACATTCACAACTAGGTTGTAGAAGGATTATAGTTTTATAAATTTCACTCTTTTAGTATAGCAAACGTACTTTTAAAAAATCTAAATATTTACTCGATGAAACTCTGACAAATATAAATAGATGATTGACACCCAACAAGTACCGTTTTACCCTAAGGATCCCACTGAGCGCACACCACCTCATGTTTTAATAAAGAGGTACAAGTACCCAACAAGTATCCTTGGGGTAAAATGATACCCCACGGATTGCACCCCACCCATGTTCTAACATCGACGGAAGTCCTGGGAACAAAGGTGATTTCGAACATAGAGAGAAGCAGCCCCAGAGACGTCTTCCCAGGAAGGAACGAGCAGAAGCGGGTCTGAGGGGAGGCCGCGGGTCCCTTCGGGAGTCTTGCGGATGAATCCAGGATGTGATGCACCTATCCGTTCTTCTATGCAAGTGATTTCTACGGTAGCCTTCTCGATCGGAAGGTCTTGAAAATTTCTAATAGGGTTTACGGGTGGAGATGGTCAGTCTATAGGCTTCACCAATAGCTTCGTGTAGAAGGTCGAGAATCGGGCAGAGGGATCCAGGGCTTGCATAGCTTAAACGCTGGGTCGTTTGAAATCAAGTCAGTTGAAGACATTCGGTTCATACATCGGTCTTTGTCATCCCCCTTCACCAAGTTGTTATTTCAGTATTATGAGAATCTTGTGCCCTGGCAATGTTTTTTTTTCTTTTCTAGGGCTCCGAGGACGACTAGGGCCACACCCGTTTTTGCTACGGCCACACCCGCCCGTTCAAAAGCGGGCCTGGCCGTAACAAAAACTGGTTTGGCCCTAGTCGTCCCCGGAGCCGTATGGGTGGACGATGATGTCACCCCTTGTAGCAGGAGGGGGACTTGAATACGGGTCGCTGAGCTCTCATCCGAAGAAAGATTTCTGGGCCGATTTCGCATTTCCATAACACTCTCGGTGTTCCATCTTCGTTTCCGGACACTAATGGCCACTGACAAGCATGGGAATTAGCGGGCGGGTGTGGCCGTAGCAAAAACGGGTGTGCCCTAGTCGTCACTCCTGAGAATGCTTTGATCAAAGCTACAAAACGGCGGCCGCTGATGCCAAGCGATTAAATTTGGGAAGTACAGGACTCTGAAGTAGTGTGTGGGGCTACCAGCAGTGCAATCAAAATTTTCAAAGAGAAACACTCCAGTAGCCACCAAAGAGAGATGTTTATGTCTAAACTGCGGTTAAATTTGGGAAGTACACGACTCTGAAGTAGTGTGTGTCGCTACCAGTATTGCAATCAAACATTTCAAAGAGGAACACTCTAGTAGTCACCAAAAAGACTCCACAATCTTATGTCTAAAATGCGGTGTGGGCGTCTCTGCCGTGACATCCTAAGGCAGGGAAGAAAACCTCAGGGTGAAAAGACTCTCGAGAGTCAATCAAAGTCTATTCTTTACCACTGTCTATGGTGTCGCTGTCCATGTTAGCCCCCATCTGGCTACAACTGAGATTTTGTAAATAAATTATCCAATCTTATCGAGTGCAAACAAGGCCAGTACATAAACTAGTTATATAGGTTGAGCAACTCAAGCGGTTCGGAAATGGTTTCGTCCAAGGCTAGTTATTATTCACGGTCAAGAAAAGTACAACTTTGAGTAGAATTTACATCCAATTTTGTGAGGTGGGATTGAACAAGAAAGTTAGAAAAGTCAAACAATGGAAGTATTCTCAATTTTCGCTTTGAAGGAGCTATAGGATTCGAAGAATTATCCTCGCTTTCATACGTTGCGAATGATGAGACGATAGAGGGGTCAATCCCCACACTATATAGCAGTCGATTATAGTATTCGGGCATTCACTTCCCACATTATAGCCCACTGCATATACTTACAAGAACTTTGTTTAGATGATGGATGGCCTTGTGTTGAAATTAGTATGCCATCGGATAAAATGATACATGTTAGATCTCACTAAACTATTTGTGTTGCGCATGTATTTATCTAAAAACTCCAAAAATTACAATGAAATTTTTTTTTTTAAATTTGAGTTTTGTAACACATGATATTCAACACGAAATCATTGTCATATATATATATATATATGAATATATGAAAAACCTTACAATGTAAAACATGTAACAATCTAAGAAACTTAGGATTATTTTTCATAATATAAAAATCATGATATGATGTGAAATAAAGTTGTAAACAGTGAAATAAGTAATTTGATAATATTACAATCATTATTAAAAAAATGATATAATTTTAAGTTGATTATAAATATGATGAAATTTTAAATTTTATGCTAATTTGTGAGTTTGATATACATATTGTAACCAAAATTTCATGTGATATTGTTAACTTAACTTACATTGAGTTCTGGGTTTAAATTGAAATTTTTTGGTACAACAATGAATTTAAATGAAAAAAAAATATATTGAATTTGTGATATTAGAAAATACATTGCAGTCAGAGAAAATATGTTTGAAAATTATTTGAAAGATCACACTATCAAAATTACAACTACATTTGTATCTAAATAGCAACTCGGTTTAAGTTTTTGTATGTATGTTATCAAACAAGGACATAAAAAATATATGATTTTCCCTGTATTTTAGTTAATGATAGTGAAAAGTCTTTTATGTCTCATCTTTTATATAATTTTCACTGAGATATACTTAATTCTAGAAAGAAAATTTGACTATTAGATAAATTTCAAACTAAAAAAACATTTATCGTTAAGCTATGAAATGAATTAAAAAAAATTTCAAATTTTTTTGGAAATATTATCTCGAGTTGATGCTGAATGATCCAAAGTTACTACTCTAAGTAGTCATGTATATTCTGACTAAAGAAAAAAATTGAAATGTAGTACTTATCACCACTCCACATCTATTTAACACGTTTGATCTCTCCCGATCTCACTATGTGTATCTGGAGGTGGAGATCTACATTGCATGGAGGTGTATCTCAATCTACATTAATCTACTCTAGATCACGAGTGTGTAAAGGAACAGATGCAACATGGCAAAAGTTCTTGTCACATAGATGAGATGAGTTTGACACATGACACTCTAAATCTTTATTACTAGGTTCATATTGCTTTACATCTAGCTGAATATTAGATTATGGACATTAGAATTAAACACAATGATGTAAATATCGATTTTTCAGTAGACTTTGACTGATAAGATAGTTGAACTTGTCAAGATTATTGTCAAACTCAATTCTGCATATCCTTGACACAAAGTGATTATTCTGAATATTTACGGTTGATTACTTTGGATTGATGGAGAGATACTTAGTGCAAGACAATATATTTCTCAATTGGAAATTCATTTAGAAATGCTTTGCAATATCTGATTTGAAAATATCAAAGTATTGTATCATGTGACACTGAGAAGTAGTATAAACTGATCCTTGTAAATAAGAGAGTGGTGTCTTCCAGGTTGGAAAGAATTCATCTCTTTGTAGTTCTAACTTTAAATGTAAATACGAACACCTACTTTCATATATTTATGAAAAACTTACCGAGACATAGTCTATACTCTGTTTAGGTTATGATATAGAATGTATTCATCTATGTATTGATAGCATTAGTTGGTGTACTCTACGAATACATATTAATCACATAAGCTGATATTTTTACCAAGATAGTCTATTATATATTCAATGTGTAAAGCAAGAAAATTCAATTTTCGCTTTATGATGCCCCGTGTAACCAGTTACTTTGGTTTCATGCAAGTTGGGTTTCACGATTCTTCCCATCCGATTATTTATTCAATTTGTAATTTGGTGTGAATTGTCAGTGGTTGTAGACTAACAAGAGTCCAAACTCAGGTATCTCTTGGACCTTCATGCACTCCGACCAGATTATCTGAGCGCCGAAGGCGTGATGGGAAACGTCGGGATACGGAATGGTGAGTACTTTACGACTCGGATCTTTCAGAGGTACCTCAAAGTACATGCTGTACGAAGGTCCAGAAGTCAACTGGAAGGCTGTTGTTTTCTTCACTGGGTTTCAGGAAAAGGCTGAATCCATGGCCTTCTTAGCGTGTGCCTGACGTGAGTGTGTGGGTCCCAATTTCCCAAAAGGTCAATCGGTCGCATCTCGTTCTGAATATGCCTATCGAGACGCACACGGCTCAGGCGTCACAGTTAGATTGATTCGGATATTCTTCTCGTCAGTGCTAGCATTTACCGGATATTCCCCTGAGTTTTCTCCGTCAGCAGTTGAGATCGTAGCTCAGGGCCTACAATTCAGAAAACGCAATGCATTAAAGAGTTATGAATTGTAGGATCAAAGCAGAGTCTACTTCCACTGCAGATCCGAGGTCAGGTCCAGCTTCAGGGTGATCACACTCGTCGTGAAAGTGGATAGAGATCTGCTGTGAAGCCGGTTGGTTTGGCGTTCCTGGGCTTTGCAATTTAGATTTGTGCTCAGCAGAGTTTTAACTTTTGTCATCTGGAGACAACTTGAACCCGTACCCAAGTGTACCGAAGTGCTGACATTTTTTGAACATTCTGCTTCTGTCTCAGGTGGAGATTTATGAGCGTCATGACGATCGCCATGCAGGCACTCTGTTTGTGTCTTGTGCTGGTATTAGTTTTTCAGCCAGCTTTGGCCTATCGTAGGATTGAAGACGATCGCCCTCCAGTACCCGACTCCAAAGGTGAGTAAGATGTGGTGGCGGTATTTCGGCCTCATTGTGAAGTATTTGGTGTTAACTTGAACTCTTGAGGAGCTTTCAGGAGGTTCGATCATCACCAGCGCGAAAAGTACCCAAAGCTCCCCTCAGACCCGTCAACCATTCGGTTCATTAAGGATGTGCAAGCTGCACATCTCCCAGAATTGAATCTGCTGTATCTTGCACAGTGGGAGTGCGTAGTCTCATATGGTTTTTGCATCTGAAATTATGCTTACAATGTGGAGCGGGTGCTATATCAGGGGGGATTGCGAAAGGGCCCAGCAGCAGCGTCGACTCGTACCTGGTGCCCATCACCGTCGACAATGGAATCTACTTGAAGGCTGTAATCACCGTCGGAGACTCTGCAGACAACGGATATAAGCTGGTTGGGGTTCCCGATGGTCTTGGAGCCTACGACAACGGCGATGGCTCCTTCACACTGCTGATGAACCACGAGATTCAGAGTGGCAATGGTGCAGTTCGCGCTCATGGAGGCAGTGGTGCATTCGTCTCCAAATGGACCATCCGGAAGAAGGATTTCAGAGTCACCCACGGAGAAGACTTGATCAGGAAGGTTTCCACATGGAACCGAGACACCAAAGCCTACAACAACCCCGAAACGAGTCCTGCTGTAAACATGAGCAGATTCTGCAGTGCTAACTTGGCTGATCCTTCAGCCTTCTATAACAAGAAGACCGGCAAGGGTACCAAGGATCGCATTTTCATGAACGGTGAAGAGACAGATGTTGATGGCCGAGCTTTCGCCCACATTGCCACCGGGGATTATGCTGGACACACCTTTGAACTTCCATACCTGGGTCAAGGAAGCTTTGAGAACCAAGTGGCACATCCTTCCTCGGGTAATTCACTGGCCTCTTGTGCATGCGTGATTGGAAATGTGGCGGGTCCTGCAAAGCTTGCAGCTATGAAACCACGAGGACTGATAATTCGGTCAAACTGTTCTACAATTTGATTCTTTAGTGGGGAATACGAAGTGCAAATTTTTTGGGGGGTCTTTGCCGGGTGTAATGATGACTCACATCTGCTCTGGATTATTCTTCGTCATGTAGGGGACAAAACTGTGGTGATTGGTCTGGATGATGGTGGTCACAACCGTGTATTCGTGTACGTTGGTGAAAAGAAGTACGTGGGCAATCCTATTGAGCGAGCAGGACTTACGAACGGAAAGCTGTATGTGATCGCTGCGGAAGGGATTGCTGATGAAATTGTTGACGGTGGCAACTTGAAGGCCCACGACAAGCGACGATTCAAGTGTCAGTTGGTAGGAAATGGTGATATGTCGGGCCGGTTTGGAACTGGAACTGAGGTAGAGAAGTTGTATCTTCCCTTCAACAACACAAAGGCCGCTCCAATCCCCAACACCAAGTTTGATCGTCCAGAAGATGGTTCCTGGGATCCATCTAACCGCAAAGACTTCTACTTCGCCACTACATCGACATTCAACGTCACAGGCCGTCATTCCCGACTCTGGAGACTGAGATTTGACGATCCTACTCTGCGTTCCTCTCTGGAAGGCACAATCGAGGTGATGGTCAATGGACCAGATGGTAACGACCGCAGTGGGCCCAAAATGATGGACAACATCGGCATCACCAAGAGGGGAGAGATCATCATCAAGGAGGACCTTGGAAAAAATGTTTTCTTATCTCGTGTTTGGCGCTACAACTTGAGAACAGACAAATTGGACATTATCTCCCAACACAACCCGGCCCTCTTCAGCGGTCCTGTCCCTGTTAAGACCACCGATGAAGAATCGTCAGGAGTCATCAGCATGGATGATTTGTTGGGCCTCGGTTGGTATCTGGGAGATGTGCAGGCACACAGGACTCTTCCCAACCCCTTGGTTGAGGATGGTCAACTGTATGCCATGTACGTGCCGCCATACTCACAGAAATAGGATTTCACGTCATCCATCAGCTCTTTCAATTTTATCACAGAAGTCCCATCCTCCGGGATCAAAGAGGTAGTCATAACAGTGGTTTGCGATATTTTCTTTGTAGAAACGCGAAATCCAGGATTGGGAATTGTTTTGCCAACAAATTTGTTCTCCTTCAAAACAGAGGAATTTGTATGCATGTTAGTATCTTCAGCGGATCTTAGGGTCCTGTATTTGGGGTCATTTGTACTCTGACAACGTGACACACGAGTAAAAATAAAAATAAAGACTCTGGATGAATTACATCCATTAATGTCATTAAGATACGTATTATGGACTGTGTGCAGAATCAAATGAATGATTTAGTCTTAGCATCTACTCACCAATTTCACGGTTGCAGATTGAAATGATATTGTCTTAAGATGAGTCAAATAAGTAGAAGCTGAACAGAGTATGTCGAGGAAGAATTTGTTCACTGAGTTGATGCCTGGTTGCTTGATAGATATTAAAGTGACTGACTGACTTATTTAGTTTTTGAAGTGCACATTGAGTACAGATTAAATCGCTTGTGATTTCATTCGCGACCTTCAGATCTTCAGGTATTCAGTCTAGCGCTCTGCTAACTGACTCCGGCTGTCATGAGAAGCCTGAGAGCCGTCCGTATATCATCAGCCTCTCCCAGCAGTAGAGTAGAATATTTTACGGTGTACAAAGGACGAAGACAATGATAAAGAGATTTGGAAAGCTGAGCATGTTGTAACGAGTATGACATGAAATCTTCGTTGCAGTGAGCGTTGATCAGACACGGGATCCTCGGCTTGACGCTCTCCCATTGAGTTATCGTCGCGGCTCCAGCTTTCATGAGAAGCTTGTTTGTAACACTTAGCAGTTGAGGTAAACAGTACAATGATCATAATTGAAAGAAAATATGAAGAAGTGACAAAGCAACTAACTAGCTTGTAACACTTAGCAGTTGAGGTAAACAGTACAATGATCATAATTGAAAGAAAATATGAAGAAAGTGACAAAGCAACTAACTAGCAAGACTGAGCAAGACATGTTGAGTTCGACGTTCGGAGCTGATTCGTGATTTTTCCTAACGATCCAACAGATCACCATCTCCTAGCGACCCAAATGCTGACGCTCTCTGTAAGTTGAGCTGTTCACTCCGCCAACAAACAATGTGGTTGGATCCTGGACTCGAGTAATTTGTTCGGGAGCAAGGGTTCCTAACCATCTAGACAATTACGAATTGGATACGCATGATTGCAGTATAAATAAATTCACCACCTCAACTGCTGTAGGAACAAGCCTACCTTCTGTACACTGGAGACCCGAATGGTGCGCCTTCTGTACCCATGCTGTGTCTTCAGATTCAAGCGCTAATCTCCTGATCGCAAAACCTGATTGCAATCATGTCGATTTGAGTTCCGACGACCGAGTGCCACTGATTGGAATGCCAGGATAACTGGTATATCACAATTTTACACAATTGTTTCAGCTCAATCAAAACCCCGATGAATTCCTCAAGGATGATGGCACATGAGCGGAGAAGATTGAAGAAAACACTCCCGATAAGAATAGGACATTCCGCAAATCTGGAGCCAAGCAGCCATGGTGGGAACAAACAAACACCGAAAGCAAGAGTAACGTCAAAAGAAGGCGCACGGCAGGCGTGGCACGAAAAGCTCGCATGTATTAAGCCAACCCAGGGAAGAACCAGTCGAAGAAGTAAAACATCTTGCCAGGATTATATCGGGGACGACTTCGGAAGGCCAGGCAGGCTTGCTAGAGAGGTTAAATAGATACTTCTTAGAGTTGTATGTATGTACTTCGTTGCGGTTCTTTCGAGAGTGGTCCCGGCGAAGAGCCCAAACATGTTCGCCTATTCTATGCCTTCTCTAATCATCAGCATTTCACTCCAATGAATCTCAACTTTTCCAGAAGCGAATTGTGAGGTACAGAATCAGTTCAGACGAGTCACTGACACTCTGCAGAAGCTGTTGGACTTCCCAGTACATGAGTCACGATTCCTTTCAAAGCCAAAAATACATGCAAAATATTGAAAATCAGTATCGTGCTCATACCATCTGTAATAATCTAGATTGTTGGGATATGTTACCCAGACGAACCTCGTCTAGTCCACTTGTCCGAAGGTGCTCCTAGCCAGGGTTGTCTCAACTGGGAGGTCTTCATTATGGAAACGCCAGAGCCGTGCATTCGATCTAACCCAGGCCTCGTAAGGCCTGGGAATTCCCATAATTATCGAAATTCATTTGAAATGTGGATTCTAATTTTTTTAATTTTGGGATTTACTCGGAAAAATACTTTATTACTCGATTCTGATCTAGATATGAGTTAGATAAATTGTATTTGAGATATATGAAAGAGTTATTTCAATCAGATGATAAGAACAGTAAGCAATAATTGCAAAACAGATATCACTCTCTGATTCTTCTTCGTAAAAGCTCAGCTTTTACTTTTGAACGTGGTAGAAGGTCCAATCCCTTGACTGAATATGTACGCACCTGCACCTTCCATTCTCTCCTCCACAGCACAAGCAGAAACGTTTGCTGCTTGGCATGAGTAAGCAATGCGCATGCCAAGTAGCATGTTCTGTTCTTGAAAGCCGCCAGGCTTGAAGAGATGCGTAGATCAACTTTATTCTCCTGCAAACTGTCAAGATCAATACAGCAAGAGTTTGAGATGAACATTGTCGCCTACACCGCACCGGGTTTATTACTGCTCTTATGTCAAACAAGTAACTTCGCATGAGCAAAAGCTCCAATAGTTTTCAAATAATCAATATTGCTCACAAATCCAACGAACTGGCAACTGGTTTCCCACAACGGTAAATCTTATCCAAGCACAGGGTAGCAGCTGCTCAGTTCATGCCATGCCATAAGTTATAAACTTCTAAAACCACCACGAACTTCACGAAAATCATTATTATTCCACTCAATATGTTTTCCCAATCAATCTAAACTACTCATCCAAATTAGTAAACCAAGCAATTCAACAACAGTGAAAAATAGCCTGTATCAATTGAAACAAGTGCTTCATGTCTGAGTTGCCCTCGAAACACCAAATTGCACCAAATTCTCTTGTGTTATCTATCAACGATACTTGCTGACATCCACTGAAAGTGATAAGAGTGACCATCCACCTAAACCTTCACATTGAAATCTTCCACCCAATTCGACTGATGAGAATTAATATCCATGTGAAACCTAAAACTCCACACTGAAATTTTACAAACGCACATAAGACGCGATTGAAACTTTAAAAACTCACATGAATTCAACTCATTTGAAATCTTGAGAAGCTTGAAACCTGAAGTTTTGAACTTGATTTAAAGAACTTCTTTGAGGTATTACAAATTTCAAAAATTTTACAAACACACATGGATTGAACTCAATTGCTCGTGCTATTTACTTTGGAATATAACTTCAAGTGACAGGTTGGTCGATGTAGTGCAATGATCATACCTTTCACATCTCAGTATGGAAAAATCAAATTCCAATGAACGAGTGTTGGCAAATGCAACAGTCAATCCTCCACAAAATCTACGTAAATAATCAAATCGATCATTCAAATCGTTGAAGGTTGTGGCATGGTCATACTTATAGATTTGATCTCTTACTTCCGCCTCTAAGTTGTAAGCATGAAAAAATCGTTTGTGATTTTTCTTTTCAGTTATATCGACATAATACTTGCTCCAAAATTGTTCCATGCAATCACGATATGGATCGAGAATATTCGTAACAAATTCTCAAGTACGCATCTTAATTAATTTGCAAAACATTACTTGAGGTGTCACATCCATTTGGGTCTCGTTTTGAATGCATCTTTTTGCTTCAACATTAAGAATGTCTTCAATTAGTTGAAAACTGCAATCATCAATTTTCTTTACAATTTTCATCATTTCATATGGAATTATGCTCTAAAACAAATCTCGGCCCAAGATCCTTGATTATGAATGTGAAAAATTACATCATTTATTGTAATCCACCATCGTCCACGCCGGCAATACTCATCATCGTCTGCCATCATCATGTAATTGACATTCGTTTTAATTTCTTGAATTTCTAGGCTGCACAAATTGATTATCAATTTGTTGATTTCAATTTGCTGTTGCAACAAAATCATATCTCTTGTTTGTAAAATAACCAATGTCATAAGACATTTTTATAACCCATGAACAATAATCGCCGTGATGATCCATCAAGACTGCGACGGAGCAGAAACATGATGTTTCTGTTCGATGTGAACAAGCAAACGCTGATGTGTGTCAATCATCCAACAAGTCATGTTTTCAAAATGTGCCCAACGATTTGTATCCTTTGGACATCTGCTGCCCAACTCACTAATATTTTTTGATTGTTGTCGGAGGTGTATATAAAAAGCATGAGCCACTTTGTAATATTCGACCCCCTTGTAGACTGTTGGTATCTTATTTGATCACAAGATCAATCTGATGAGGATTACATCATATACAAAAAATTAGATGAGTAGTTTCTTTGTCAAGAAGAATCACAATTTCATCAACATATCACATATTTGTTCTCTCATCATTAGTACATTATAGTGCTAGAGTTTGTAAAGAAAATTCATGATTGTCATAATCATAGTCATCAGATCAATCGCTGCGTGAGGATCAAAATGAGAAATCACGACTAGGTGCATATTATCAAGTTTAACTTTGACGCACACCCGAAAGCGCATGTTGAGGAAAGTTGTGCCCTAATGTTTGCTTTCATCAAATGCCAAATGAAAGTCCACACCTCAGTATGTGCTAGAATATTTGCAATAATTTGAAGTTTCGTGCCAACAATAATGCAGATTTACTCATCTACTTTGTCATCATTCAATCTTGCCAATATTACGTTCTTGTGGTGTGTTCAATGATGCTTGATCACAACTACCGTTTGACAAAATGAAAGAACTATTAATGTGTGATCAATGCAAAGATTGAATCAATATATGTTTTAAATTATGACACAATGGTAACCATCTTCCTGAATCTTGAAAAATTTCATAGCATTGACTAGAATAATCAGCTCCTTGTCTTCCATCTCATCATCTTATGTATTGAAGAACATTTTCCAGATATTCTTCAAAATTGAAGCTTTTATTGTGAATATAAACGTTATAAATTTTTTGTTGAAATAGGATTTAACATTCCATGTTACATTCAAGAAATATTTCTTCTTCTTCTTCTTCCTTGATAAAGCTTAATATTTGGTCCATGCATTTGCATGTTGTACTTGATGATGATTTCGGTACAATTTGAGACAAAAGTTCTGCCACACCATGACGTTTTGTGTACGTTGTCTCTTCACTTCTTCGTCCTTTCGCTCTTTGCTATGGTGAACGCAAAATAGACATTGTACTGATGTAATCTTTTTTTTCGTATCAATGTGAGTGATTTGCAATCCGAATTTTAATTTGCGCTTGGATTGAAAAGAAGTTGGATTTTTTTAAATTTTTGTAGCAACAATTGCCAATTTAGAACTCGACATCACCACACATAATATCACAGAATCTCTGTCTCAATAGAAATTATGTCAGGACGCAAAAAAAGTCGTGAAACAACGGTGGGTAAAAACAAGACATTATTATTGATGTATGTGGCAAGTCCGAAAGAGAAGATTATGTGTCGATTTCGTGGCAAGTTTGAGGAAGACAATGACTACTTGTCTAACAGAGACAAAGCCATATGTTGGTTTTTGTGACAAGTTCAATAGAGACAAAAACTACGTGGCATATTATCAATGGAGGCAAAAGCAAAAGTGTGTCGTTTTGAACCCGTGCTAAAAAAAAAGTTTCAATTATGATACTAATGGCGTACTTAATTTATGGACGCCGCGAGTTTTAATTTTGGTCAATTCTAGTATTCTGGAGACTAATCTCAGAATTTAGGAGGCATGATCTAATCTCATCTCAGCAATGAGAGTGTAGTCATTGTTGCCATTCTGCTAAAGTGAGAACCAAGTTGCCTCAGTGTATGGATCTCGGATATGTCAGTTACTCTGCTCTATTTATTTACTTCAATTATAATATACATGTCATCCAATTATACATTTATTCTTCTAAGCTAGCATTCTTGATTAAACAAAATCATCTATACTTTTCCAAATCACACTGTAGAAGTACAAATTTTATTTGTGTCAGTGTGATTTGGAAAAGTATATCTATAGTCATCTTTATTTTTGATGACTGTCTTGCTTTGCTAGATGTAATCATCTTACTCCATTCACTATATAAGCTTACTAGTTTTCCTTCAAGTTTTCTTTTAATATCTTGGTTGTTAGTTTAAGATGTGTAAGATCTTTACTATTCTCAAAATATATAGATGATCATATGTAAACATTATGGTCAAAATGTCATATTGCAATTGAGACAAATCTATTTTGTGCTCCAACATATCTTCAAGATTGTGTCCACCATAGATACCATCAGCAAAATACAACAACAAACCTCTGATAGAAGATGTGTTTGCTTGACTTGAAACTAAAAAGAAGGTGCACATCACTTTACTGTAGTTTCTTCACACTTGTCTGCGCACAAATACTCCTCTTAATTTTCATCTAAGTAGAAGAAATCTAAGAAGATTTTTCATTTCTAATTGATTGGAAGTCTACATATAGAATATACAGAGCTTCCATAAATTCTATATAGAGCTTCCATAAATTCTCGATTTGCATTTTGTTCTTTCTGATTTTGGTAATGGACAACTCATATATGACACAGTTTAGAAGTTACAAACATAATACTCTTTGTTACTCAACTTGAGGAGCATAATATTATCCGCAAGCTCATTATGTGACAAAAACTTCCTTGAATGATTCATCCTGCAGGGTGATGATATCTTGTTCTGCCCTTGCCCCTGTGTGCATTGTGAAGATCTATCGATATTTATCAAGTGATATCAAGTTAAATGCTAATTGAAAAATATATTTGTGCGTAATAAGCGATTATCTTATTGGATTTACGGAGCACGGAGGAAATCAATTGATGTGATCTCACTGTAACGCAAATTTATTTATCGGAACCATCACTTATTGTTCTATACAATGGAATTTCACGGACCGCACACGTCACTCATGTTCCAATATCAACGTTGCAGTATCAAAGGATAAAAAGATGACTATGATGGAAGAAACATGTTTTTGAGTGCGTAGAAAGATTGTACAATTCTTAGACGTTCTATGGACAGGTGAGTGTCAATGCATTGATCTAGTAGCTGGCGAGCTCCACCCGCGAGGTGATCACTCTCGCTCCTGTCAAAAACGTGAATGCCCGCAGCATGATTGCCAAAATGCATGACGTGTATTGTTCGTGAAACATAGTGAGCCCGAGTTCAATTTTCGTTAGATTCTTATAGATAGTTTGGCGGTAAGAAAGTGACTTGAACCAGAACTTCAGTCTAGCTGGATTTGGTTTGGATGAATTGTATATGAGTATTCTCGTCGTAAAGAAGGAGAGTTTTCTTTCTGATTCTCTCACAGCGTCAATGCTGCAGATTGCAAAGATATGACAGAGACATGATATTCAATAGATGGTTCACTTAAGACATCATAGCGGGCATGTATACAAATTTAACTTCAAACAAGCTTCACATCATATCAGAAGAAATGAAATCCAGTCGGAAGTTAGTGTTGAGACTTGTGTTAGTACTCGCATTGATCTCAAGGTTATCTGCGCATTTGGTAGCATAAATAATAACATAGATTCAACTAACTTGGAACTTCCAAGCGGTCACTTTCCCACAATATAGCCCGTAGTATGTAGTTACAATAATTTTTTGTTGGACTTGGTGACGGTGTGAAGTCGATGGATCCTATCGGGTAAAACTATACATGATCGATTTCATCAAGCCATTTGTTTTGCGATAGGTTCCCATGAAGTAGTTTTCTCGGGAGCGTGCAAATTCGTCAAATTACATTGAAAAATAAGGTTTCTTTTTTCTTCTAAAACTCATAAAATACTACAAGAGATCACAATCTTTTCCATCATCGCCATGTTTTCATAATAATCTTGTTCAAGATGGTGATGATGAACAAGAGTATGTAAATACTTCTTGGTTATTTCCAAGTAATCCAACACACAGGTTGTGGTACATTTGGATCGATATAAGCTTCAAATAGTATACTCCAAGCACAAGCTTTAAGACTTTCTGCAAGATATAGTTGGAAGTGAAAGCTTCACGAAAAAAATAAATTTTAAAACATGTAACACATTCAAATATATATCATCTAACTTTTTCTGAAATTTGATACTTGTATCAATTTTCAAAAATTAAAGAAGATTTATTTTTACCTTTTCATGATTTTTTCTCTTTAAAAGAATCAAATAATTGAAGTGATTGAGATTGACAATGATATCAAACAAATTATTTGAAGACATTACAATAAACTCTCAAAATCCTTGATTTTTTCAGTGGTGATTTGTATCCAATTCCTATTTTTTCACCATTCTTTTTGACTGATAAATTTGATATTAACTAGATCAAATTAGTCTCATTAAACATCTTCATTTCAGCTAAAATTCAGAATATCAACATAGTATGGAATCAAGAGTCTTAATACTTGCTAACATCTTTCAAACAGAAAAAATGTCCCTCTACTCATGATATATATTAGATATTACAGTTGATGGAGCTAAATTTGAACCCCAAAAATCCACGAACATAAATCACCCAAAATTACATGTTTACAATTTCTGTTACTGTCGGAAGACTATACTCAAGGTTAAGCACTTTACTCTAGTGAGTTACACGTCCCAATATTGCGTAAAACCCTAGCACCAATATATGTCACTATTGGGAGGTTTAACTGTCACATACACAGTTAAAACAAACTCTAGTTATTTTTTAGGTATAGATGAGTAGTGTACTGACATGATTAGACTACCGAATCAACTCTTCAAAGCGACAAGATTTGAAAGGGGGCTCTGACCAGCTAAGAGTTTAACCATTTGATACATCAAAACAAACTCATTAGGTTCTCTTGCACAATTGCAGTTCAAACTAATGAGTGCCGTCGGATTCTAAGTTCAACTTTACTCGTGTGGTCTCCAATGGCAGTGAAGAAGCCGAAGTATGAAAGAGTCTTCCAGTCTAAAATAATCAACTGAAAAAAGCATTGGAGTCAATGCACTGTGCATTGTACTTGCTTGCCAAGGTATCACAAAATAAAGTGTCCAGCCCACCATCTTCAGTGTTTTCAGTACAAGACATGTTTTCAGTACAAGACAGGCGGAAGTGGAAATTAATATTCTAAACAATTTCTAGGAGTAAAAAATAATATTATGAACAATTTTTAGTTGAGGTTAGACAACTTATAAGATATGTAAGAATTGTGGATCACTGAGAACCAAGGAAAATTGTTGTTAGCTTTTGAGAATACCTTGCAGTAAGAGTCAAGGTGTAGTGCTTGTTTCATCAAAAGTGTTTCTTATTAATACATCAGATTTTATCATTGAATACTTGCAGAATCTAACAACTTTGGGCAGTACCGACTTTGAGTATACACAACAGAGTAACCAAATACCTCTCGAAAAAAAAGTAAGAAAAAAATTTTAAGTAGTTCTTTACAAGAGCTGCTTGTAATTTGTTGGGACATATTTCTTTCTAATATTTGGCTGCATTCCGAACTGAATGAGGAATGAGGTTGAGAATATGTCTTTATGAGGGATTATCAAATGATCGATATTTCATCCCTTCAAGGTTAGTTTAGCTTGAATGGAATGTGCATCAAGAGTTTTGGTGTGTAGTTATGTTGATATACACCTTAAAAAGTTACTTACAACGCTTGCTCAGATAACCTTCTTTTTTCAATCTAGTTACATCCACTATTTAATCTCATTAGTAGAGTTATACTATTAGAGTAGAATTTATTTGCATAATTCTTGATGATGGATCTATATTAAACAGATAAAAAATAAAAGCGCCAAGAATAAAAAAACAACTGAAAAAGCTGCAGAATTGTAAAGTCAACATCTCTAATTCAGTTCAAAAATCCTGAAGAAAATGTTAAACTGTAACTTTTATTGAATAATAGCTTGTTCGAAACAGTTAATTAGAGCCTGTTTATGACTTAACATTTTGAGATCGGAAGTATCATCAAATAAACATGGAAATCACACTACACATATAATAGAGAGTTATTTAATCACAATTTCCAATTTTGTAACAAAAATGTATTTGAATATGCTTTAAATAAAAGAGAGAGAAACAAAGACATGACATAACACGTTTCGTTTCAACGACTTTATTGACTTTGCTCTAGATTTTTCATTTGAGATGTTTTGATTTATGATATGAGAGTAGGAGTGCAATAGTTGCAGTATGACTTGTTTCATGTCAGTCAATATGTCTAATACTTGAGTTTCTACGTATGGTTACATCAGATCTCCATCTGAAGTCACGAATCATTGTTATCTAGCATTTAGCATCGGAAGTATGTTTTAAGTCATGTATACAGCACAGTTTCTCTTCACTTGTAAGCAATGTCAAAAAATATCATGGTTCTATGGTCTTCTATACGACGAGATAAACAAGCAAAAGTGCTCGTAGCACTGACGAAAAAAGATTTCAGTTTCATGTTTGAAGTGTAAAGACCTCGAGACTCTGGAACTAGAACTGTTCTTGTGCTCACATGCTTGACACTTGAGCTAGAAGAACAATCATATCAGCAATCCAGAACCTCGAGTGCTCTTCTACCTTGTTAAAAGTTCTTGAACAATACTTTTAGTAAACTACCAAAAAGCTGATCACTTTGTTCTGAACCGATATTTCAAGCAAGAAAAAGCGTGGTTGACAAAGCACAATAGGCTTTGTCAACCAGGCTGACAGCGCATGTGCCACTCAGTTTTCATGTTACATCCACTTGCTTGAATAAATCAACGATTTGAGGTAAATGATTCGACGAAGATAAAGTTTGAAAGATTCGTTGCCGGCGTGACGAGATCGAGTGTATCATCACACTGTATACTGATGGCTTGCACAACAAAGTCAACATCTACTCTGACCTTCGAAGCACATTTTCCAATCAGAGTACAGAGGAACCGTACTCTGTGGGGACGAACACCCTTGACGTTTTCGCGCACACGTTTCAAGGACAGATCTGATTGAAGACGCTGCATCTTTTTTCCACGCGGTACCCATCGATGGTAGGGTCTGTCTTCCCGTGGGTCTTGATGCAGCTAGATTCGCAGTATCACATTACAACTTTACATCCAGTTGATACACAACTCAGGCTACTTCCCATCTGAAATATCTGCACTATCATGCGTTCCATGAAATTCTGCATTCCACATCTGGGCGTTTGTTGTTTTGGATTTCAGATTCACCTGCAGCAGAGCTGTCAGTTGTTCGGTCACGTAAAACTACTACCTCCGTTCGAGTTTGCATTCCGAGAGGCGCGAAGTCCCCTTTGTCACACGGTATACAATTTTGCTTTTAACTTTTAATTCTTTCTAATTGCTTGTTCTTTTCCTTCATTTTGATTCACATCTCTTGTTTCCATTGATTTCGAGCAGTCTCTTGATTGCTCTTGATCCGATTCCGTGCATAGCTTGGAGTCATCTTTGTCTCACTACTCATGCAGATTGACGAAGTCTCGTGCCCAGCACGCACTTGCACACGAGAGTTGTGACAGCGCGACGGGAATATTAGTTTTCTTCGGGAAAGTCAGGGTTGTGGATCGAAGAGAGGGCCTCCCGTAGGCCAGGTTGCATTTCGCCCGCGCATGCCAAGCACCAAACGTTTCTTCCTTTGCGAAAGGTGCAGGAGTGCCTACATCGTAAGTGACCTTTCTGAACTTGCAACACATTTAGATTCACATCGATTGTCGTACACTGCACGGGGTTCGAGCAGCCTCTTGCTTCCAATTTGCACCTGCGTTTGTAGTGATTGCTCTTGATCCGCATCTGCTGGGAGTAATCTTTGTGTCCTATTCTTGCAGATTGCAAGAAGTCTCATTCCCAGCAGGCACAGGCATACGAGTTGTGACACTGTGACGGGAAAATCAGTGTTCTTCTGTAAAGCCGGGCTTGCGTATCGAGGAGAGGTCCTCCTGTAAGCGAGGTTACATTTCGCCCGCGCATGCCAAGCACCAAACGTTTCTTCCTTTGCGAAAGGTGCAGGAGTGCCTACATCGTAAGTGACATTTCTGAACTTGCAACACATTTAGATTCACATCGATTGTCGTACACTGCACGGGGTTCGAGCAGCCTCTTGCTTCCAATTTGCACCTGCGTTCGTAGTGATTGCTCTTGATCCGCATCTGCTGGGAGTAATCTTTGTGTCCTATTCTTGCAGATTGCAAGAAGTCTCATTCCCAGCAGGCACAGGCATACGAGTTGTGACACTGTGACGGGAAAATCAGTGTTCTTCTGTAGAGCCGGGCTTGCGTATCGAGGAGAGGTCCTCCTGTAAGCGAGGTTACATTTCGCCCGCGCATGCCAAGCACCAAGCGTTTCTGTCTGTGCAAGAAGGGAGGAGAGAATGGAAGGTGCAGGTTCGTCCAACGTAAGTGACGCTGCTGAACTTGCAACACCGGGAATGGATTCCGCAGACAACGAACCGGAGCTTCCCTCCGCCATCCAGGACCTTATACGGCGTCTGGAAGGAGAAGGCGAGCCTATAATCGGGAGGCTTCCCGATTTCAGCGAGCCACCATTTCTGGATTTCTTTCCGGAGCGTGCATCGCTCTCGAAGATGACAGGGTGGCAAAGCAAAGTTCGCCGTCAAGTGCTGGAGGCAATCGGCAGCTGCAACACCCTTCAGGTGATGATAATATCAGATATTTGTGCCAGAAATATATCGAGGTTGGATCCTTTCGAGTGGGATATAGTTTTCAGAGTTTTTGATTGGAGCCCCAATCTACGAGCGATAAGATTTGAACAGTCGACGTGGAGTTCACATGGGGAAACGGAGCTCTTGTGTACGAAGCTGGGGATCGTTCTGAATTCTGAATCGTCCTGTTACGCAACAGATTTGGTAATTTTCAATTGCAGATTGAGTGCGACATGTTTTTTGAATCTCGCAAAAGGAATGCGAGGAAAGTCTGGATCTAAACTCGAGTCCTTAGAATTACATAACGCTGCGTGGGAGGACTCGAGTGCGGTCGAGCATGTGGCTGACATGATCAACAGTGCTCCTCGATTAAAACTGCTGAGTTTAGGCGGCACTGGGGTCCGCAAGTGCGACATGGACGAGGAGGTCGTTCGAACCCTGTCCCAAGCTATAAACCTGAGGTCGTCTATAAAAACATTAAGATTAGTGTGCGTGCATAGCGGAGCATCGGACTTGTTGCGGAAGGTATTTGCCTCGGATGATGGCAACCAGTCGATTGAACATCTCGGGATGATGCACATGCCTGTACTCGGACATTCTGTGAGACATGTTCTCATTTACAAGAAGGTGAAATTGAAGGAGGTGAAGTTGACCAATATCGACATGCCTCCCGAGGAATGGCGTGTGGTAGGACAAGCACTACGGGTCAATACCACAGTAAAATCTGTTCATTTAGAAACTGTGTTACATGCGGTTAGTGGCCCGGGAGGTCCCTTGGAAGGATTAGAAGAGTTTGCGTGTGCTGCTAGCTCTGATGACAAGGGCCCCATCATGGAGTTTACACTCAGTGGCAAGTTCGAAAACCTTTCAGAGCTCACCATTTTAGGAAAGGTTCTGCGCGGGGAAATCAAATCTGTAAAATCTTTCTATCTTCAATGGCCAAAGTTTTCCACTTCAGGTACAGATAATTTCCAAGAGAGACTGGAAAGTATCTTCCCGATTAATGGAAAAAGTGGTGATTCTTCAGTCTTGGAGAGTCTATCATTATCTCCACTAAGCGAAGATCCTCTGAATGGAATATGGTGGAAGCACTTATTTTGTTTCCTGCGTGAGAACACAAGTCTCACTCACTTGGCTTTGGGGAACCCTTGGACGATCTTGAACCCGAAAACGTTGGACGAAGAGGCATTCAGGGACCTGATGGATCTTCTGCAAGTCAATTTATTTCTCCAGGAAATAAATGTCTCATCATCCTCATGGGCAATGGACGGGAAGACGGCGCAGATTCGAGAGGCCCTGAAGCACAACAAGAAGCGGGCAGTGTACATGTCCGACTTCAGAGAAGCTAAATTAGAATTTGGAGATGCAAAAGCTGGTCGACTCTTCTTATGCGGCTCTCCTAGAGCAGGTAAGGTGATCTGTAAGTTATCTGGCTTTTGCAATCTGAGGTTTTACTTTTCAAAATTTAAATTATTTTATGAAGTTTACTTTTGTATTTACATGTATTTGGATTTGTGTGAAAACTAAAACAGAAAAATAAGAAAAGAATAGTAAAATAGTAATGAATTCAAAATTAAGTAAGACCTTCTCAAACATTTTTGAAATTAATGAGGAATTCTGATTTCTTTCCACTCTTGTGTATCTACTCAATATATTTATAAATATGATATCAAGTAATCTGTAAAAATATTTCAAGTAACAAGTGATATTTGTTGTGGTTATGTGTATTCAATCTATAGGCAAGACTCAGTTACGTCAAACCCTCATGAAGATAGTACAAGGCAAAAGTTGGCTCCGCAACAAAGCATTGAAGTGGAGGACCAAAGGAGTTGAAGTGGAGTTTTTGCAAAACAATGATAAACTCCAGATTTCAATTTGGGATCTTGCGGGGCAAGGAATTTTTCGTACCCTTCAGAGTGTGCTATTCCCTCAAACCAGCTATTTTGGTGTTTTTATATTTGTGTATAGCCCATTCTGTGATAAAACATTTTCTCAGAAAGAAGACATTTGTTTGAAAACAGAGTTGAAGGAATGGTTGACATTCATCTCATCGAGCATTAGAGTTACGGGAAATAATCGTCCACAAGTTCTTGTCGTGATTTCACACAAGGATAAAACCAAATCCAGCTCTTTGACTTGGGCTCATCCTATAGTGAATGAACTCACCAACAGATTTGCAAAATTTGTAGATCTACATCCTATTCAAGAGTTTTTTCATATAGATGCTCGGAAGCAGAAGCCAATTATTCCTCTCAAAAATCACATTTTTGAGATCTTCCGGAAGTTGTTGAGTAAAAAATCCTTACAGGTTCCTCAATTGTGTTCTCATCTCTCTTCCCTCTTGGTTACAAATACCAATGAACACAAAAGTTCCCCTCTATGGCCATCAACAAAATTTGATGACTTTTGCGCCCCCATCTTGACACAATTCACTTCATTCTCTTCTGCTCTCGCTGTTAATCATTCAAGGATAATGAAATCAGTTATATCCTATTTGAATGACGTTGGATCCATCGTTTCCATCCCCAACTTTGATTATATCATTGTGGATCCAAACTGGCTCACCAATACATTATTGGGTGAGCTCGTAGCTCTAGGTCAAAATTTTGAAGTTCAAGAGTCTAGATCTTCTCGGAGATTGATGTCCCGTGAGTCATACACAAGTCGTAACGGATTTGTGAGTGAGAGTATCTTTGCTCGATTGATAGAGGAGTTTCTGAAAAAGCAAACTCATGCGAGTGACAGTGTCTTTGCTCGGGTGACAGAGAAGTTTATGGGAAAGCAACCACATGCAGAGAGAGTTGTGCAGAGAGTGGTGATTGAAAACATCCTTATCAATTTAGATTTGTGTTTCAAGCTCGAAGATACTTCTGAGTATTTCATTCCCTCCTTCGTACCCGAGCATCCAAGCCTGGAAGCACACAAGCATCAAGAAGTGGCGCACGTGGAGTCGATGGCTTGGGAAACAAGGGTTAAGACCTCAAAGTTTGTCGGCATCCGGATTCAATGCCAAGATGAGAGAACAATGTCACTGACCGCTGCTTTTTTCCCATGCTTCCAGGTGATTTCATACATACTGCAAGAAGATTGAATGCGTCAAGTTACGATTGTAACTTGTGTAAGATGAATGGAATGTTCACTTTTCATTAGTTGAATTCATTTTTTGGAATACGCAGCTCAATATTTACCAAATTTTGTACTATTGTAGATGTTCATGAGACGCAAGTTGATATCGGAGATGCATGTTTCCAAGGAGACTGTGACCTGCTCTCGACATTATCTGCGTCTTTTTCATGATGGGCACGAGATCTACGTCGAACAAGATAGGTCCCATAGTTACGTGGATGTTCTGATGTTATGCTCGACACATAAATCAAGGGAGGGGGCTCTGGAATACGTGATGAAGTATATCGTCCAGGAGTTGATATCATTTTGCGCATCATCCAAAGGCTGTCCCGGGGTGGCGTTAGTGCTATGTGTGATCCAAACAATTTGCGTGGAGAAGCTGATTCCGAGTCATCTGCGAGGCGCAATTTTAATCGAGGATCTGAAATCGGCATTCACTCTTAGCATCGAACACAAACTTGAGAAGATTCCGTTGGATAAATCTCAATTGGAGAAGGAACATGAGTTGTTCAATTATGAGCACTCTTGGCCCTTGATTAAAGATCACACAACACAGGTTATATTCGAAAGAGCTGGGGAGTTGCTGTGGGAGAGCGATGTGGAAGCGGTTGTGAATGAGATCCGACAGAAGCGAATGCAACAAGTGAAGTTAGTGCAGCAAGGTTTAACCAAGGTGAATGATGATTTGGTTCTTTCTCACCTTGAAGATGAGAACATGATCAGAAATTCAAATTTTCCTGATGTGAAGGACTCCGATCGACCTTCATCCAGCACAAGTGTAGAAAATTGTTCAACCGGACTTATTTTGTCCACAATACATCAGCTAGAAGAAAAAATGACACACAGGTTTGATGGTGTGGATGAGGGGTTGAGATCAGTGGTGAGCATTGTGCAGAGATTGGAAAATAAGATGGGACAGATAATTTCTTTGCAACAAGAACTGCAGTCAACTTCAAGTGCCTTCATGTCCAAAGTGGACACCATCATTGAGTATTCTTCATCTCTTCAGCAGGCGAGAGCTCCCAAGAGACCTTATGTTACGGACGATGTTGGCAAATTCTACAAATTGAGTGCATTTCTTCATGTTGGGACAATCGTTTGCTTACACTTGATGTGTGAGTCTGTGACTAGGAATCACAATGTAAAAGATCAAGAAGGTTTGAAGATACGTTTGGATTTGGAGAATTGCGAGTGGATTCGGAAAGCTATTGAAATTTCATACAAAGTCTTGTATTATACTGCAAAGGCTGGACTGACTAGTACTGTCGGATTGGGCCAAGCGATACCGGACTGGGCAGATTTAAAATCTGATATTGTTAAACTAGATGGCATTAGCGATCGTGATCGTGTTGCAGTTCTAAAATGTGGTGGGGAAAGCAAGGAGCTGAAAGAAGCATGGCTGAGGATTCAGCAAACTCTTGCGCCTATTAACTTTTCGAAAATCTTCAAGTTGTATCAGGTGAAATACGTGAGACCAGAATTAGGTGGGCATGCATGGGTGTGCGAGGAGTGCATGAATAAAGGTATTCGTTCAGGCATTTTGTTAGATTAGGAATTTGAAGAGGTTAGAATGTCATTATGCAAATGACAAGCATATGTTTAGATCCTCATGCAATATACAACTCTGCAAAATATTCCTCACATAAGTATTTTATAATCTTTGCCATCATGTCAATCGCACAGTTATGTTTCTGAAGAAGATCAGGGCTCGGTTAAACTCTGAAGATGACTCTTTGAGGGTAGAGTGTTCAAATTGTCTTGTTGCAAGTCTCACCATGATGAAATCCCTTCACTTGCCGCGTGGGGTTGGTCACTTTGAACTTCCACACATTTCCCTGATTCCTCTGTTGTTGCACGATGAACAATCTTTCACTGATGAAGTATCAGTGAAGAGCATGAAAACACATATGAACGTATTACAGGTACCACAAGCCATTGTCAACGTGCTTCAGTACTAGCAGGTCTTCAGTCACATGGGTCCTGACACAGCCTTCACTTTGTCCTGACAAACTGCCCGAAAATGACCAGAGATCTGCAAAACACACGATGACTGATCAGACCAAGAGGTATAAAAGTGGTGCAGCCTCTCCGTGATATTTATGGACTTCTGCATCGGATATCGCTGCAACCGCACTTTCTCGAAAACTGCAAACTTACGACATCATGGTGTCTCTGGTTTCAGAAAGTCCAATCAAACCTTCACTACCAAGGGAGCTCTCGCGGCAGGACCGAGAGGAACTGCCGAGATCAATTGAATGGCGAGAATTTATCTTCACAGACCTACCATCCCTGCTCTACCCAAGCCCGCCCTGGGCCCCCGAAACTCCCATGATCAGGTTCACCATTATTGATTGCCTCCGGCTGATCACGAGCATGGACATCACGTCGTTAGGAGAATTCTAACATTCTCTTCCTATCCCTAGTCATGACAGGAGATAATCGATCGTCATCAGGTGTATGAAACTCCAAGAGTGGCAAGAGTCATAGCTTTCACATCTCTCTAAAGAATCTTCACTAGAAACTATGCGTTTACGTGACATCATCTTGTACAATCGACCAAGTAGTCTATCGTTTCTGTAATTGTTCTCAAGATTTTGCAGCTTCGTCACACCTTGCACTCGAATTTGCATCTGTTCTGTAATTGACCGTCGTAGACGGTCTATTCCCTGATCTAATCCGTCTATGACGGCTGATGAATCACAGGAATTGGCAAGAGGTTTGAGGCTACAGCTGAGACCTAAGTACACACAAATCGAAGACTATAATGAAGCAGTGTCAGAGCAATTCTGATGATTATTGTTTTCAAGTGGAATGAAAATTCAGTTGTAAGTGAGTTGTAAGGCATATAATTGGAACCTAGAGAATACGATTTGTGAATGTATGCATGACCAAATCATACTACCGTCAATTATGGGAACCGAACCATTCTCAAGCAGTATAAGGTGGACAGGTAGATAAGTCCTTTACATCTGTACAGAATCAGCTGTGTGGATTTACAAAGTACAGGAACCTCTGAGCCTCCCAAGAGTGGTATATCGGCCAGGATGGAGTTCCTTCTCGAGAATAGGAATGGTTGGGTAGATGGAGGCGCTAGAAGATGAGTCACAGGGGCCTGGAGGCTCGAGGAGGCAGCAGCAGGAGGAGGAGGAAAAGGCTGGGAGACAGTCCGAACAAGATGTCCAAACCTTCCGAATCGTAGAGAGAGCATAATCAACCACTGTTGGGGATCTGGATGCCGGCCAAACCCGGGAGAGCAAACAGGCGGATGGGTGGGAGGAGAGGACGTTTTAGCGATGGCGGATTTATTATTATCGATACACTATGGCTTAGGATACGGAGCAACTTTCGTGAAGTGTTTGGTTGGAGAGGAATTTGTCACCACAGAGTGCTTATGTTGTTAAAGACATGGCATTGTCCCTACCTACCGGGAGCCAGCTGTGGGAACCCAGGGGTTCTGTTTGGATGCAGCATCCGAGATCATAATCTCCAAACTGGTCCAACAGAGCTGCCGCAGATTCACTGTGCAACTAGTTCTCAGCTATAAATTGGGCTTTCTGAGATTATGAAGCCAGCCCCTCCTAACTCTCGCTTCTACCTTCCGTCTTGACTTGAAAATAGCAGACGATGATGTAGAAGCCAAAAGCATTCGAGGAAAAGCGACTTCTGAATTCAGCAAGAGCGAAACCCAAAGGTGAAAAGGTTGTGGTTCTGAGAAGAAAGCCCCAGCGCCTACCACGATACCAGTCACGTACTGATAATTTGACGGAGACTCAACTTTGAAAAATACTTTAGATCGAAACATATTCGAACTTTATTTCTTCAACGATTTCGAAAATCTGAACTTGGAATACTACAGACACTATTATAAATTCAACGGTGTTTTCTAAGGACGCTAACAACGATAGTCAGGTGAGAACCTCACTAATTGAATGTCCAACTCTAACTGCTGTCGTGTGGCTCGTCAAGTGCTCCAACAGGTAATTCCTAGACGCCCGCACCTATCCAGTGATGGGTGCACAGCATTCGAGGCTTTTCCTTATTATATCAAAAGTATATTTGCGTACTTTTAATACAATTGGCGCATGAAAATGACCACCGAGGATTCAGTCTTCAGGTGAGGGCAAGGGCAAGGGACGTGGCATGACGCGAGTGGTTATCAGATTCTTGGCTGGACTGATTCCTCGCCCATTCCATTCTGACATTAGCTTTTGCTTCCGAAGATCGATGACAACAGCATGTGAGGATTTGGCGATCAGACACATTTCCTCGTTTTCAGATTCTGATATCCGACGCTTCCATGCACTGAATACTGTCGACGGCCTGTCATCGAACGAGTTCATTCTATCTTTATGTAAGTCACGTGTTCTGCGTGATCCGTTCGGCAAAGTTCTCTGATCAGAGGATCCTCGTACTTCACAGTCTAAGACTTACCTGCTTATATTTTTCTCTCAGTAATATCACTTCTTTACTGTGATTGAGGTACGCAGAACTTCAGGGCGTTGGGGAGCCTCAAAACCCACTGTTAAGCAGAGACTTGACATAAAATCAATCAACGCCATCTGAGGGAACGACATGTCACCGAACTAAGCATGTCGACTGATTTCGCGTGTAGTTGAAGTTAAACTTTTAGGAGTAGACTTCGTTGTAAATCTGCACTCCTGAGATTACCAGAGCTTGAATCGGACCCACCACTTTCATTACGAGCGCTGCCCATCCCACTGTCTTCCTGAAGGTGATCATAGCAGACCACTCTTACCGTCCTACTCTATGAGTTGGAATACACTTTAAGGGAGTGTGCTTGATACATGTCAGAGGCATTTGTCTAGTGATGTGAGAGAAGAGCGCCAAGATACGATATGATATGGAACTGTGGTGGACGGACCTTCGTGATAAATTCATATTTTACTTCTCAACGCGACTATGCACATCAGATGCGTACTGAGCTTCTACAAACCTAGAGACTAATCCTCCTACGTCCAACTTCGAGTGCCTGCTAACCGACTTTCAAGTATATCTTAAGCTGTCATCTCATGACCCGACGTTGGGATTGAGATTGAGATTAAGATTGATAATAACCGTTCCCGGGAATGATAAACCTCGGATTATGTGGTTAGTATCAGATGGATATGCTGTTGGGGACCCCTCTACCAGTCAAACCGGGGCCAGATTTGGGGTACAGAAGAGTGTAAGGGACCTTCGCCGGCCCAGATCTGTTCCTCTTCGTTGAATCGCTGTTCCTCTTCTCGAACTCACTTTGGAGAGCTTCGATTTTCTCTGAATGTTTCTTGAACGCCTGCTGCACCTGTGGATCGGAAGTCCACAACTCGTTACGATCTCCGAGGTACTCCTCGTCTGTACCATGCTGCGCGAGTAACTCAACTGTGGTCATGATCGGAAGAGCGATGATCTCAGTCGCTACAGTTTTCAGCAGGAACAGGAATGGATCCTGCTCGAGCTCTTGAGCTTCGGCAGTGCCCTCCTCGGGGATCCAGCGGAGGCATGTGGAAGGCTTGTTGGGCATGAAGCCGGCGTACGAGTACTGGCCAAAGTTGACGGCGGCGTGGTGAGGACCGGCGATCCAGTGGATGGTGCAGCAGATGTCGACCAAGCTTGCTCTACTGTCTGCCTTAGGCCATCCCGTCTTGATGTCAGCATGGCCGACTGTGACAATCTCGTTCCACCATGCCTGCAGCTCCTTGTCGCCTCGGACTGCTTCGTCTGATTTGTAGGCAATGTTCACGTACTCGGTGATCCAGTCGTGAAGAGCGACCCACAGATCCAGTCCGTCCTCGGCAAAAGGATAGTCGTCTATGACCAACTTTACACCCGCTTTCTGTGTTTCGTCTGGCACCGCCATACCTCTGCGCGCAGGACACGAGTATATCTTTGAAAAAGTTAAAAATCTTGTCATATCCCCCCACCTTTATATTAATTGCTCATTTTCAATGATTGTTTTCTATCTCTATCGTTGTCCCGTACTTTCCCTCGTCCTTGTCCGAGTCCATCTTTTCTCATCCATCCGAAGAATCGAAGATCTCCTCTATATTCTTTCTTTTGTAGATTCTTAAGAAAGTTATATCACGAATCTTTCAGTATCCTGGGTCATATATCTTGAACGGGATGATTATGTTCAATCATTTACTCAAAAATGAAATGGTGATGTTTCTGAACTCAGCGATGAGGGGCAAGAATTACGAACCTTGAGACCAGATCATTGGGTAGTGCCTGCTTCTCGAAAGTCCAGGTGAGGCCATACATGACAGCTGACATTTCCATAGAGTATTCTCCAGGAAGAAAGAAGAGCTCAATAATTCCAGTCGCATTGATGAGAGCTACTCGTGCTGCGGCGTTGATCATCATAGTGTTCTTGAAGCAAGGGTCCAGAAGACTATAGATTGGGTGCATTGTACTCAATTGCCTTCGAGTTGCAATGACAAATGGCTCCATAACTGCATGCGTCCTCAACCTGTTATACACAGAGATATCGATCAGATCTCGCTGCTACTGATCTCTCTTCAGAGCAACTTCACCTAGAAAGAGAGTTTAATTGGAGCAGAAATTCATCACCGAACCTCGTACTATCAAAAGCCTGATGTCTATTGCCAAATTTAAGAACGACGGAAAGGATCGAGTACCAATGGCTGATGAGCTCATGGTAACCAAAATCGATAGAATTGAAGTGTGCTTTGGCTAAATCCCAGTAGGGATTTCTGTCTCCCTTTCTCAATGGTGCGGTGTACACTGTGTGCTTGAAGGTACTTCCTTCAGGCTTGGAGAGCTCAATGGCGATGGGCATCATGGCTCCCTCCTTGTTGTAAAAAAATATCGCTCTTGGAGCGTAGCCTTTCTTTTTATCTCCCAACTTAAGTATCTTCGGAAGGTAAACGGCAAAAGGATCATGATAATCAATGATGAACAGCTTCTTGGCATCAATTGCCTGAAAGTACGACACTACTGTGTTAGTTTTTGACGAGGTACAGAGTTCTATTGAGACAAAGGTGGCATTAAGTGAACTGAACGAGGAGCAGCCTTCTCTACAGTATACTCTTGCTAGAAACCATGACCTCAGTAGGTCTTATTCTTTAAAGCCAAATTCGATGAGAATTTTGTAAGTGATTTTCAGTACCTCCTGCACGCTGAGTCCTTCCAAATACGGCAAGATGTGTTCGTCTGTCAAGACGGAATTGGGACCATACACGTCCTCCGGGAGATTCATGGTACTTTTGGGAGGATATTGCTGCACAAATCGACTTATGCAAAGTGAGTGCACAGCAGAAATACCTACCTAGACATCAATATGGAGGAAAAATTTCAGACAACTAGGTTCACAAATCAATTTTCCTATACACTCATTTGGAAACCGAGGAACAGAAGCCAACATGTACACACGCCTTAGTCATCATGGTAGAAGCTTACCGTCAAAGCTTGGATGACAACTGGATTCAACCCGGCCAGGGTTTGACGACCAAGCTCCTCATCCTCATTCCAAGCGAAGTCGCTATCTGCAATATGATCAGTTATATCCCGAGTTTCGCATTTTTGAAGTAAGACAGATAGCACGTAACAAATGTAAAGAAATGTTACATTACACCTGACTGATGTCCACTTGAACGACCTTGAAACAATCTATATGTAACTATCTCGATGTCAGAGTGGCATGATGTAATGCTTAATGGAATGAAGTGGTCTTGTCCTAGAAAGCAGCTTACTCGCGAATACTTGAGGAACGGGAAATTTGAGGATGCGTTTGTCATCGCCAGCGGCGTTGCAGAGCGAATCAACGAAGACAAGGGGACCGTCTTTAGCTTCTTGGCTCGTGTCCAACTTGACACCCTTCGCATACAAGTCTTTGAAGTCTTGTATACTATCGAAGTGGGCGGTTCTGTCTCCCGTGAAGAGACCTTCAATAAGTGGAACAAGAGTGTGGGCGACAGACTTCAGTCCGACTGCTAAAAGCGCACTCGTTTTCTCTCCACCGAAAAACTCATCGCAAGGAACGTAGAAATCCAAGAGTCCTACCAAAGGACCGAGTGCTATTATGCCGTCTGAACCCATCTCCTTCTCTGACGGAGGATCTGCAAGCGTAGATCCAGCCAAACTCAGCTCCAGAAATGCCATATCTCGTTTATATTCATTTGAGCTTCTCTGTGGAGGCCACGCTGACTATCTTGCAGTGTGTGCACTGTCAGTACAATAGAATTTAACTTATAAACTGGAAGTGGAGGGCCATGGCAAGCAAAATTAGCTTGAAACAATACCTGAGGGCCTTGCTGGATTTTTCGTCTTACTATGTCCTCGCCCAGTTCTGCACCGACGGGGGTAGGGCAGATTGTCGCCGCCCAGGACAGGTCGCATGACGGGATGAAAGGATTCCGGTCTGCCCAGATCATTGTAGACATCATAGTCGTAGATCCTGTCAGAAAAAACTCTCATTCCCTTACCATTTCCCCTTAAGTTTTTCAAATCTTCTTCTCTGTAACCTTTCAGACCTGGTGGTGTATCTTCAGGAAGACGTGCCTGCAGAACGGAAGACGGACTCTTGTCATGGGCTGTAAGCAATTGAATAAATGAGTACGAAATATCAGATCAAGGCATGAACCAGTAAGCCATATATAGCCTCCTATATAAACTGCGGCTTGTTGGAATTCAAGAATTATACGCTTCTAATCCTGGCTTCTAAGTGAGTGCTTCTATCAAGCACCTCTAAATCGAATCGAACTTTATCAAATGTGATGGCTTTACCTTGTTGAGAAAGAATACGCGGTCAGGTAGAGGAGTGTAATTTATCCCTCTTATCCCTTTAAACTGCAATTCATATGACTCTGGATTGACCCAAGAGTTACAGAAGAAGTCGACTACTTCGCCGCCGTCCAGTTTAAGACACAACGAGTGGAGAAAAAACTCGTTCAGATGATTGTTCCTGACCACAACAGCTCCGATTTTCCCGAAATCAGGGTCGACTTTGAAGGTGACTTTGTACTTTGTCTGACCAGCCAGAGGCGATAAATCCGAGAACGCGTAGTTCTTCACCACGGCAGCGTCGGTCAGTTTGGGCTTCCCGTTTTCTGCGCATACATAAACCAGCAGACTTAAATTTCAGAAATAGTAAATGTGACTTTCATCCCAGATCGAGATATGCAGGCTCCTCCTTGCTTCTGTTTGATTCCCAGGCAAAAAGTGGTAAAGGATTCTACGCTCTTGAATTTTGCATTTTTCTTATTCTTCGTTAAATCTTAACCTCTTTCATCTGAATCCACGTTTGAGAGCGTTAATCACAAACGTACACATTACAAATCTCACAATACGACGGTCTCTTCTTCTCACGTACTAAAACTTGAGCTTCTGGAAATTTGTAGAGCAGTCTGAACTCTGATCAGCCTGCAGTGGCTTGCATGCATCATAAGACCTCGACTCTGTAGATCTTGGGCTAGAAGTCAGCTCTAAGTTGAGAACGAAGAATTCTGCTGATCGAACTCACATGCAGTACTGAATTCGACAGGGCATTGAAAACTTACTGTCGAGATCCTCGCTGACGAGCTGAAACTGAATTTTTCCCAAACCGAGGAGGTCCACATTCTTATCTACGAGACTGGCTACCGGGTTGTCGAAATCAAGGACTGTCCTGTTCGAAATGAGCATCACCCCTTCAACTTGCACCTGGTCCTTCTTATGATGGAGGAGATTGAGCGGATCTGGAACGAGATCTCTGAGGCCCGCTCGCACTGGATGAAGGCTTTTGCCATGTCCTTGCGGGAGCTGCTGTGACATGGAATTCTCGTGAGGTCCAGACTGGACCGCGGTACCCATCAATGAAGAAGATTTGGAACATACTGAGGACCGGGTGGATGCTGAGGGAGTATCGCAGGGGTTGGAAGGAGCTACAGCATGTGCAGGAACTCGAAATGGGGCTCGGACACTAAGCATTTTAAACTTCTGGTTGCTGCCTGCAGACATGGAAAGAAACGTCAAAAGGCACACTCGACTTTAGTACATGGAACTGATTTGACGGGACAAGACAGAATGGTGCGATTATCTCGAATCCATGCTTGTGAAAACCGAGCTGAGAGAACGAAGAAATCGAAGATACACAGGCGACATTGTTGCAAAAAATTGAACACTAGTTCCGAAGAAAGAGCTCAATGCCAAATCTTTGATGTCGAGAAACTCACCTTGGACTCCGAATCTGTTGTGAACTCTCAGCTCTAAATTGACCTATAAAAAAGGTAACGTCTCACTCTGCGATCATCCTGATGAGATCACCTCGAGAGACGCCTTGATTTCAGCTGAACTCCTTACGACTTTATATACTCATGCTCCAAAAGGTTTCCGCTCCGCGCTGGTCTGGAGCTGCAACATAAAAAGCATATTCCAAAATCGAGGTGGATAAGATGTTGAGGTTCGATAATAACTCATTGGACCGCTTTGTCTGAAAGTCAGAGATATTTCTTCGAGGTATTATTCGGTACTCTGCCCCGTTAGAATGTTTCACTCTGATTGGAAAGCCTTCTTGCTGTATATGCTGGAGTAAATCGTGCCTCCGCAAGAAACAAATCTTCAATCCTTTTCGTAATAATTAATAAGCAGTGATTACATTTTGTTAAAAGTGGTTGAGACACAGAAACTTGGCTTAGCAAACATGATAATGCATGCAAATTGTTTCAGCTTGAACATGGCAGAAATCCAACCGAGCTTTGAATCTGAACATGGCAGTGCCGCCAAGAGAAGAAGATGCAGTTTTGTATTTCTCATGCCGCTGGTGTTGGTGTCCGAAACTCAATCATTTTTGCTTAAATTAGATTTGAAACGAGCACAAATCGGATGACAACTGTTCGCGAAGTGAGCTCTGAAAGCGTTCGCGGCTTTGTGTGGGCAGTAGACGGCCAGAGGGAGTTTCCTGAAATCCGATTTCATCCTTCTTCCTGCCTGCGGTGGGCCCAAAGTGGTTTCGCGGGGTCCACTCCACGAAGATTCGAAAAGCGAACTCCGAACATTGTAACCACCGAGAGAATATCGAAGGTTCCATTTCAGCTGGCAGACAACCATTGCACGAAAATGGCAATTGGAGATAACTCATTCGTTTCACGTGACTCCTCACGTGAAACGAAAGAGCAACTGAAGCTTGGAAATCAAGCAGTGATCTATTGGGTCCTTGGCTAGGCTCATTCTTCTCCCAAATCTGCACCGACCAGGAATTCGATCTACACGTCGCGATCATAGTCATGGGTCGGCAGGTGGATAATCAGAGTCTCTTTCCGTTCCCTTGTCTCTCGGATCGGGAGGTGTACTGGAAGATTATGAAGATTCGAACGACATTTTGTCCAATAGCCTCAGAAAGAGATTGAGAGCAGAAAGTTTGTACACACTGGTAAGAACTGATAGAAAAGGAAAATCGATCAGATCACCGTGCATGATTAACAAGGGGTCGTGATTAGACTAAATTCGTGTCGACAAAATTGGTGATGGAGATCACTGCTGTACTTGGATTTCTTTCCGATGAAGTCTGCATATGTCTCACCAACACCCATCAGTATACATCGGACCGCTAGAGGAGACTGATGGACTGCGGTGGAGATTGCACTCCCTCTTTATACATATGATCACAATTTTTGATGTGTGAAATTTGAGACGTTATAATTTTCACACAGGTCGAGTTTTCCCGCATACTTTTCATTTCGATGATTACATTCAATAAGAGTGATGTCCCGATCCCAGATGCCAAAAAAATGGAGTACACTGCTTTCATGCTAGGACAACGAGACTCCTTCAGCATCTAGTCCGTGTTGATTGCTCCGATGAGAAATTGTGCGCACATGCCTCTTCATGACAGCAGTGATTGGCCTCTACTTTAATCGTCTTCCAACATCGAAGGCAGATTTTATTGCGAGTATTGCAGCACTTGAAAATCACGTCGCTGAGGGCCCGTGCAGAGGCTGCCACGTGGATTTGCCCTCTCAAATATAGTCCTGCTTGTTTGGTTTGGACCATTACTGTCGGTATGGTGAGGATCATAGTGAACGAAATGGAGGTTGTGGACGATGTATGTGCAAAAGTGCGACCCTTCGATCTGAGTGCAGCTCATCGATCGAGAATGTAACCTTGCAGGTCCGAACGAGCTAGCGCGAAAGCTTTGTAGGGCTTCTTCCGAGCTGGACTGCGATGCAGGCTTCATCTAGTTTTGACTTTTGGTTATCGTCTCAGATCATGATAAGGTATTGCTGTACGAACGACAGTGAAAAATCATGACAGATCTGCAATATGTCATTACTACTTTTTGGTTTTATCTGCAAGACAACTATGAAACAGGTCGTACCATATGCACAATAAACTTCAATGATAATAAGTTTCAAAAGTGATAAAACTGAGCATGAAATAATTGATAAATTCATCCAACCAGCTCTACAATTCAAACTGATATAAATAGAATCGAATAATACGCAAAAAAATCTCGATTCTAAGTTTCAACACTATTCGAACTGTATAAAGAAAATTATTGGAGTGATTATATTATTGTTGAAATTATATATTTCATCATTGGAGTGTTTCATAGCATCTGTATCAAAATAAGAAATTTTTTCCCCTAACCAACGACGTTGAATTTTGTTTTTTAATTTTAATTTTGGCTATGTTCTAATTGAAAAGAAAAACTTTCTACTAAAATTTTTTTCATGTATAATACGGAATGTATCTATATTGCTGTGTTTTTCCCAAGCGAATTTTTTCGTTAGGAAAATGGAAGCATGGATTAATAAATAAGTACAAATGCGAAGAACATTGGAATGAAGTCACGTTTAATTTAGTTTATTTTTTTCCGTATTATCAGATATGTATGTCATCAGAGACGGAGTATTTAAAAGCTATGAAAATTCTACTCATGTGACACATCTGACTCGAGAGTATTCGGTGGATACGTATACAAAAATGTAGACGTTTTCCGGTGTCACCCGGTATAGAAGAGTTTGGCGTGGGACGGTAGGACTGTGCGAAAGTGTCGGTGTACAGAACAGGCCGAGTAGGTTGAATGATTGATCGCAGGTCGACCTTTTTGTTGCCATTAACAGAATTCCTGGACTAAACCTACACACACGAACTGTTGGTACGCCAAGTGTATCTCGAACCACTGCGACCAACGGCCGTGAGCAAGGGCGCAGTAGCGATCTACGGCGTGCAGTACCGGTTCCGTCCAAGACAGATGTCATGACTGTAGGTCAATAGGTCTCTGGTCAACTGACCGAAAGAGCAGTACTTTTCATCCGTTGGAAAAAGGAAGGTGCAGCTTAGCCTGCCCGTCATGTGGGTACTCACTGAGGAATGACTTATTTTTTGCAATTATTGCCCGTTGGTGCGATCCACGTCAAAAGAGACAACGTTTCTACACAAGGCAAATCAATAAAATAATATTTTCCTACTTCAGGACAACATGGTAAAAGAAATACACCATTTAATGTCAACCTCGGTTGCTGCAAGTTCAGATGAAGCACCCCGAGGTTAAGGTAAGTCAATGGTAATGCATGGCATTTGAGGTGGGGGGCTTCTTTTCTCCTATGAGCAACAGTGGACCAATTGTGTTTCAGCCTTACATTTTTTTAGCCACATTTTTATCTGTTCAAAAATCAAAAGCGAAAGCAAAGTAGTTTCTTTTTAAAGCCGAACCACTTTTACCTGCTTGAAAGCTTTATCATGAAGTGATGCAGTCCACTCTAAGATGCTGAAACCAACAAAAAAAACCGCATACTGAGACGGAGATATCAAACTGAAATTGCACATTTGTACTGAGAATATTGAGCAAGAGTAGACTAATTTCAAGGGCAAAAAACTTCACAAATAAATTGGGTTATGATCAAAGAATACCAATCATAAAAAAGATTTCAATATTCAGGGTTATTAACTAGTTTTAGTCACGAGTTTGAGAATAGCTTAAGCAACCAGCCATCTTTTTAGTCCGGGAAAATCAAAATACGCAACAGGTGCAAGATTTAGAGGAAAACTGTACAATCTTCTGAAATAAACTCTTGACATTGCTTTATGTATACTTTATTACAATGCGAGTTTTGTGGATACCTTAAAAAATGAAATAAAATGCTTCATGTGTTGACTACTACCACAGACACAGTCTTCACGATTTCGTTAAGAGGAACAAAAATAACGAAGTCGTCATGAAATTGCAATACAATCCCCTAACCTACTTCTGAAGGCAAAAGTTCGACTGGAAACGGGCTTCGCACAATGCACTGTATAAAAGGATCCCAGATTTTTCAATTCGTATCATTTCTCACGAGTTGCAATTTCAGCACACGAAACATGAACAAGATTTAAGTGTAGACCGTTGAGTCTAAATTCTACTTTCAGTGTAGCCACCTTCTCACAGGGATTGCTTATTAGCTTAGTCCTCGTAGTCTCTCTAGTGTGTTTTCGGTACCTTTTGGACTCTAACCTAGATTGCGTTTCATTATTAAATGTTTTTTAGCCCTAATCATACCCTGATAGATAGATAGATATATATATATATATATATATATATATGTATGTATTATAAAAGGAGTAAAATCCTTTTAACCCTAAATAAACCCCTTTATATATATATATATATATATATATATATATAAGAGGAGTTTACAGCAGCGTTATTAAATATCAGTTGTATAAATAGGACTCATAAATAGAACATGACAACCTCAGAACTTCCTTCTCTTTCTTGTTTTCGGATAGAGATTTTTGATCAAAATAAGTGAACTTCATCATACAGAGACGATAAGGTCAATTTTTTCAAAGATTATGTTCTAAGAATTAAATCACAAAGGATCCATCGTCACATGTTTCTAGCAAAGCGCAACTTTGTATTTATAAGTAAGGAGTCAAATCCATCATACCCTACTCATGTATTGTTTTTAGATCTATTATTGTACTTTATAGAGTATATGCCTACTTGTGCTCATAAAAAAATTTTGTAGGCATCCCACCTTAAGTTATTCACATAGACTTTACCCCTGCAGAAATAGGACCCTGTAAAATTGATCATCAAATTTCACCTGGCAAATATTTCTAACTTGGATAAATTTTCAAAATTAAGAGAGAAAAGAGACCTTTGATACCTCCATTCATGCCAAAAATATGCAAAGCCTGCGAAAACTAGCCCCACACCCCATTAAAGATACTTCCTGGTGTCAAAAGTCCAGAATGAAATACGAATAAGAGTCTTAAAGCATTTTCATTCTAATGAATCTACATTTCCACCAACATAACTGCATACATAATTACAGAAAGAAAACTTGTTTCATTCACTTTTAAAACCTGTGGCGATGTTTCTGATGCTGAAGTCATTACCATACACATGTGTTTTTACAATTTGGTTCTGTAATTCCAGCCAGATACAGTCAGATATATGGATATTTGGTGAGAGTCGGATGCTAGATGCCAGCCATATACGTACCTGCCAGGCAGAGTTCCCGGCCTACGGTAGGAAAATCTACTTTCCTTTCCTCTCAACTTTTCCTTCGATTTCTTTTCGGTTTGTGTGTAAAGAGGGTTTACATGACTGTTTACATGACCTTGGAATTTCAATGACCTTTAAAATGGAATTCGTCTCACAACTATTTTATTTCTTATGAATTACTTTCATGCTAGAGTTCTAACATATTTGTCTATTTTTATATTCGATAGACATGAACCAATCTGCCAGCATAAAGA